ATATTAGAAAGTTTTCCCGCTTTAAAAAAAATCTGTAATTGTTGTGCTCTTCTATCCACTTACATTTCACACGCTGTGTAATATTTTATAGAAACTTGACATTACTTGATTCATGAATACTGGAACTTTTCCCCCTCAGCGAGATCAACCGGCTGGACCTTGGCCTCATCGTGGAGGTGTGGAACAAAGGCCTCATCTGGGACACCATGGTGGGGACGGCTTGGATTCCCCTGAAGGGCATCCAGCAGTCAGAGGAGGTCAGAGCGCCGCACACACACACACACACACACACACACACACACACACACACACACACACACACACAATTAACATTCAGCAACGAAAAGACAAACATACGGTAATGTAATTTCCTTGCTCGCATTATTATGTTGTTATTGTGATTCAGTGTGGCCTCTGTGTTAATATATACGTGTGTGTGTGTGTGTGTGTGTGTGTGTGTATTCTATGTACAGTTTTGCAGGTTTTCCCACTTACAAACCATGTAGTAGTCTGTCATTTTTATCATGGGTACTCTTCAACTGTGAGTTTGAAAACAAAATCCAGAAAATCACATTGTATGATTTGTATTCTATGACCGAGGGAGAGTGACCGTCATCTTGAACATTCTAATAATTTAACTTTCTCACAGTTGTTGCCTTCTCACAACTAATAGGTCAGTGAGAGCCGGAGTTCTTACTGGTTGGTAGGTGATCAAATATTTTTTTAAATCCTACAATGTGTTCTGGATTTGTGTTTTAGATTCCGTCACTCACAGTTGAAGATGATAAAATGATGATGATAAAAATATGATAAATATGATAAAAATGATAGACTCCTACATGCTTTATAGCTGCTTAATGTGTGTTTTCATAAACCAATACCAACAAATATACATCTCAATTGCAGGAGGGCTTGGGCAACTGGATCTTTCTGGACTCGGAGGTGCTGATGAAGGCGGATGAGATATACGGCACCAAGAACCCGACGCCCCACCGCGTCCTGCTGGACGCGCGCTTCGAGCTGCCCTTTGGTGAGACATCATCAAAACCCCTATCCCATTTTTCATAATTTTCCTTTTTTGCAAACGGCAGTACCTGCTAGCCACAACAGTACGGGGCACATCGTAAATCCGGGGTGGGGGCGGGGCATTGTTGATACGGGGTCCCCACCAGGGCAAATCAAAAACTCGATGCACGGAGTTACACAAAGGCCGCTCGTTTCCAGCCCATGTCAGCTGCCTCTTCACCAGGCCTCTCGGGGAAGAGCTCCTCAGCCTGCAGCGCTGCCGGAATAACGGATGATATATTGTGACCCGGTGCCCCGTCATCTTATGCAAGCATCAACTCAACTTGTGTAAAACAAAAGGTCCGTATGGACCACATGCACGAGTATGAGGGGAAATTAAATCAATCAAAGACAATCCCATTATCTCAATCGGTGATGTGAAGGAGGACACTTGAGTTGAACAGGAAGTGTACATATGTACATATGATTTATTTGTCTTGCTGTCTAATGTTCTCTATCTTCCACTGGGGATTATGACTTCTGTGTTCTGCTTAAATTGAGTGCACTTATTCATCAAAGGCAGATCTCCTTTTATTAATTTAGGTTCAGTAATATAATTTGGTCTTGACCAGGTTTGTTCCATCGTGGCCAACAGGATTCAGCGTATATGCGCAAAAACCCTTGGCATAATAGTGTGTACTTCTAACGCATTGACAAAAAACTCTGCTTTTTCAATCGTCCATCAACATTATCCGTCTTTAGCCGTAGGACTGGGCCATATGGCCTCAAAATAAAATCTGAGATTTATTTAAAGAAATGTAGAAAATCAAAACGGATTTTCTTTTTTAAACATCTTTCTGAACCGGTAATTTGAATGCATTGATGTTTTGGCCCTCCGCTAATGAAGTCTTCTCTCTGTCTGCATGACTGATATGAGTCCATATAATAAGTTCAATATTCTATTGAAGAATTCTAGTGATGAATTCATCTCACAATTAAAAGAAAAGGTGTGCTGTGAACCTAAACTGATTTTACCGCGTGCCGGACCGGAGGGTGAGGGGTCCCCCCCATGCTGCAGCATTCTGTTTGAGCGCCTCACATCGGCCTCAGACATTGCGATCAAAAGGCATAACAGCCGCAGCAGGGCTGCCTTGTTTTCCATTTTTTTTAGAGGAGACCTTTCAAAGCAGCAGGAGGCCATCGTGGCTCTCTGAGGCATCAGAGCCACTCATTAAAGCTGCAGGCCGGTATGTCTTTGAAACCCAGGCTTTTGTGCGTGTGGCCTTTTAATGTGCGCCCCAAAGCACCCTGAGAGGTGGGACTGGCCAGAGCATCCGACCTGACACTGCTAGATTTATCTTTTTTGGTATTTACTTATTTACTTAGCAGCACATTTCTGCCTGACACAACTAAAAAAGGCTTTTTTAGACGATAAATGCCCCACCAGAGAGGAGAACACGCTGGATAACTGTTACACGACAGTAAGCAGGGCTTATCACGCCGTCCCTCGTGCTGCACTAGGACACTTGATTCCTGTATACAGGCACAAACTAAATCTCTGCAAACCTGTGGTGAGGGAATTCAAGAAGTGGACCAGTGAGGGGCTGGAGGATCTTCAGGCGTGCTTGGACTGCACAGACTGGGATGGTTTCAGGACTGCTACTAACAGTCTGGTTGAGTTCACAGAGGCTGTAACTTCTTAAATCGACTTCTGTGAGGACAGCTGTGTTCCATCAAGCACCAGGGTGAGTTTAAACAACGACAAACCCTGGTTCACAGCGGAACTCGGAAATCTACGCCTGCGGAAGGATAAGGCATTCAGTGGGGACATGTATACAGAGTCAAAATACAAGTTTAGCAAGGCGGTCAGAGATGCTAGACGGACCTCTGTAGTCATGAAGTCTTTTGAACGGCTAGTCCTGTCCCACCTGAAGACCCTCGCTGACCTCCTCCTGGACCCCCTGCAGTTCGCCTACAGAGCCGACAGATCTGTAAACGATGCTGTCAACATGGCCACTACATCCTCCAGCATCTGGACTCCCCAGGAGTCCATCAGTGGCTCCCCTGTCACCACTGTGATCGCTTCCGTTTCCTGGGCTCCATCATCACCCAGGACCTCAAGTGGGAGATGAACATCAGCTCCATCACCAAGAAGGCTCAGCAGAGGTTGTTCTTCCTGAGGCAGCTGAAGAAATTCAACTTGCCAAAGACGATGATGGTGCATTTTTACACGGCCATCGAGTCCATCCTCTGCTCCTCCATCACCGTCTGGTACGCTGCAGCCACAGCCAAGGACAAGGGCAGGCTGCAGCGTGTCATCCGCTCTGCAGAGAGGGTTGCAATCTGCCGTCCCTGCAGGACTTGTTCGCTTCTAGCACCCTGAAGCGAGCTAAAAGGATTGCAGCCGACCCCTCTCACCCCAGACAAAAACGGAGGCTGAGGTCCATCAGGACTAAGACCTTCCGCCACACGAACAGTTTCTTCCCGTCGGCAGTCAGGCTCATCAACAGAGCCCGGTCCCCCACTGACTGACTGACATTCCACCGGTCACTTTCTTTCACACTGCACAACCCATAACCCATAGCCTTATTTTTTATTTGATTCCTCGTGCACTTGTCTTGTCGTACTGTCTGCTGTTACGCACCAACCGCCAAGTCAAATTCCTTGTATGTCTGACATATTATGCCAATAAATGTTTCCTGATTCCTGATTCCTGAAACTGAATGAAATGAGGAGAGGTAACAAATCTTTGATATTCAACAAACTTGTAATAATTACTATGTATCAAAAGGTCACAGTGTTCATTTTTGAAACCATAAAGGGAACCAGGCAACTCTGAAGCTTGTATTCAAAACGACTCAAGAAGGACAACTGTTTTCTCTCAAACAGAAATTATAAATCCACCAAGGTTTTTACGTCAGTCCTGGTTAGCTTATTGTTTATTACAGTCCATAACTGAATAAAGTAAGCTTGAGTTCAAAGGATGCTTTATGCTGCCCAGAGGGTTGCTGCTCTCATCTTAATTGACACAATACAGTCTCCTCTGGAACCACTGAGCATGCAAATGCCACTCCCACCCAGCCCAACCTCAACTACAATAGATATCTGATGGAGAAAAGAAAATTCTAAATTAAAGAAATACAAATAAAACATAATGACTAATAATGAAGTAACATTATTATTAGTGGTATTAGTAGCTGTTGTATTCATTCTAATGTTAATATTATTAATAGTTCATATATATTTTTCATATTCAAATTTGTTTGGTTTTCTTGTGTCATGTCTCAACTGTAGAGCCTTTGGACATCAGTTCTCCGTCACTGAGAAATGTTTTAGATGCTCCTCGTCCCCATTGTTGCCATTACTTCAGTAGCTTAGCCTCATGAGAGATGAAATCACTGTGGAAGCGTGAGGGAAAAGGCTTGCAGCGTACGTACATGTTAATCGACTGTGTTTTACTTATTTCTGTCCTAGACATCCCAGATGACGAGGCCCAATACTGGACAGGCAAGCTGGAGCGCATCAATACCATGAGCATCCACGATGAGGTGAGGTGCAACCTGACGACCTTTTTCTACCAATAAATAAACATATAGTGTCTCGCTGCTTTTAAATGTCATTTCCCAATTAAGCAGATTAAGTCAACCTTTAGCTAGTTTCCCATGTTCCCATGATAGCGAAGCTGTGCGAGTAGATGACTGTGAGACATAACGGTGTCCTTTGTTTGTCTCCCCTGTAGTACCCTCTTCAGGACGACGTCCAGAGTCGCCCGCTGCCCCTTGCGGCCTCCCAGTGCTGTGAGTGTTGCTGCCTCTGTCCTCTCTGCCTCTAGATGGACCCACTCAGCACCCTTCTGGCTCTCGGCCTTTGGCATTATTTCCCCTTCTCTTCCTTAAACTGTTGAGCTGCCTGATGGTCGATATTTTTTTTTACGTCCATTTGCATGATATACTTTCTCACTGTTGGGCTTCGCTCGTCCTCCCACTTTGACAACACAGGAGCTCTTTTCTTTGTTTTCACCACCCCTACATCCTCTGACTCTACCTCTCACTTTGTAACGTCTGCACTTCCACCAGGCAACTATTTCGGATGGGCTGAGCCACTGAGTATGTAAAACAAAAGGTTGATAATCCCCCGCTTCCCTCCAACCTCCCCATGCCAACCCTCAATGCCCTCTGCATGTCCCACCATCACCCTACTCCCCCACATGTAATCGATAAGGCTTCCAAGCATTTTATTTTCATCATTTACCCTCAAACATTTGATTTTCCTCAATGATGCCTTAATCCCCCTTTTCCCTTTGCTTCCAATCACGGCTTTTGCATTTTTCCTCTTTACGCTCCTTGCCGATGTCATATAATTCTCATGACCTATTTATAGTTTTATTATCCGTAAATTATTGGTTTAGAATGCGTCCCAGAAAAAGTCGAGACCACTCATCAGAGCACTGCCCTTTTTTAGTTTTAAGAAAGACTGCTTGAATCCAATTATAATACCAAAATAGACAATATTAAGATATAACTTGCAATATCTGTAAAAATCTAAACGTCTTCTTAACAACAAGAGCCCTTAATAAATAGTAAAGGGGCGAAAGTTGCAGTTGCGTCAGCAACCTGACAGGTGGCAGTCTTTGCTAAACTGTCCTCATGGTGCCCATCACCCTCAAAATGTTTCCCCTTCAAAGAGATATCAGCGGAATCAGTTCATCCTTGGCCCTCTCGCTTTGAAAAGATAAACTGTGCTGTCCCTTCTGGCGTGTGGCCTACCGGCTCCTGAGAGAAGTTTCCTCAGTGGAATGATTAAGGTCGGCAAGGTCACTCTGTGATGGCTGTGTGTGTCGGTGTCAAAGTATTCCATCTGAAAGACTCTGAACTTGGTCTGAACTGGTTATCCCACTGCCCTTTTTTCGTTTTAAGAAAGACTTTGCTTGAATCCAATGATAATACCAAAATAGACAATATTAAGATATAACTCGCAATATCTGTAAAAATCTAAACGTCTTCTTAACAACAGGAGCCCTTAATAAATAGCAAATGGGCAAAAGGGTCGAAAGGGGTGAAAGTTGCAGTTGTGTCAGCAACCTGACAGGTGGCAGTCTTTGCTAAACTGTCCTCATGGTGCACATCACCCTGAAAATGTTTCCCCTTCAAAGAGATATCAGCGGAATCAGTTCATCCTTGGCCCTCTCGCTTTGAAAAGATAAACTGTGCTGTCCCTTCTGGCGCGTGGCCTACCGGCTCCTGAGAGAAGTTTCCTCAGTGGAATGATTAAGGTCGGCAAGGTCACTCTGTGATGGCTGTGTGTGTCGGTGTCAAAGTCTGTATTTTCCCGCGTCAGATTCCTCCGAAGTTTTTTCTTGTGTTCCAACTGCAGTTGATGTAAACATTGAGTCACTATTGTTCTTGTAGAATGACCCAAATTATACAAAACTGAAAACTACATATCAAATTATACCGCAACAGCCTCTACGGAAAAACATTAGTTAATAGTTCAATGAGCTTGTATGCATAAGGGACTTTAAAGGTACCCCACCTTTGTCCCCTATATAGTACAGTATAAAGTTGTGTTTTTCCTGCTATACTTTGCTTTTAAGTAGGAGGCAGCGATTTATTTAATTATCAAATGAAACCCACTCAAGGATGAGGAAAGACCGGTATGTTTAGCGCACCCTGTCTCCTTGTCACAGCTCTGGATGACCAGGACAGCGCCGTGGACGACCGGGACAGCGACTACCGCAGTGAGACGAGTCTGCCCCCACGCTACCACACAACAGCTCAGCCCAACTCCTCCATGCACCAGTATCCCATGGGGCCACGGCAGCAGCAGCAGCAGCAGCACCGTCTGGACTCCTGCACAGACTCGCTCCACAGTTTTGACCTGGACTACAGGGACCAGAGGGGACCCAGGTAATCAGTCGCAATATGGAAACTGCAAAAGCAGGCAGGCAAAAATGTAAATCAAATGGAAAATGTATCTTAGTTGACACTGTATTTCATTTCTCCCTCTGTAAGACACATCAGTTAAATTTGATGTCTTAGTTAGTTTGCATGACTAAGAATCCAAGTAAAGCTTCATATTTTTATTTTAGCTGGCTTTCCTATGCGCCACAGTAGCTTCAAACCACCATGAGGGATCTTTATGGAAAGGAAGTGGATTTTGTCACACCCTAGAGGGCATTCATTGGTTATTGTTTTCGACCACTCACGTGCAAGGCTTGTTGTGTAACTAAAGTCAGAATGTAGGTGGATAGCCACATGGTGTCTGTGGTTACTGGCGATTATTTAGATTCAATAAAACCACAATGTTATATTTAGGAACTCTTAAGGCAAATAAACTATTAGTGCTGTATTAATAATAATACATTGTTGATGTGATATTATTACCACTGCACAGCTATTTGACGCCAATTTTGGCCAGTAAGACAAATGGTCTCAGAGCATGGGATCTACTTTTGTGCTTTCATGGATTGTCACGGAGTACATGTGTACCAGTGAGACTGCTGCAAATCTGCCTGTGTGAACAGATAGGGAGTTGATCCGGATAATTCGACATGAGGAATACAGCCAGGGAAAGCTCATTGTTTGTCTGTTGTGTTGGTTAAAGTTCAGTAGTTAGAAAGACTCTGAACTTGGTCTGAACTGGTTATCCCTCGGTGACCAACACGCACATATTTGCTGATTGAGAACTTGTTCAGTGCTGGGCCATTGGGGTGAATTACTGTAGCAGGCCTTCCTCATGATGATAAGCATGCCAGCTGCTGTAGGGATTTACAAACATCTAAATTCACAGAGGCGACTGCAGACAACAGCACACACAAATACTTAGTTTTATTTGTAATTTTAGCTAAGCATACAAAAATGTGTAATATGGTATTTTTCAGGCAGATTCTGCTGCTTATTCTGTTGTTGCAATGTTTTAGTCTAACTTCGCTTTCTGATTAACTGAAGGTATCCTAAATCCTTAAAAGATTAACTGATATTATTCAGCATGCCGCATATGTCAATGTTTTGATACTTTTGCAACATTGACAACCAAGCAAATTGTGTTTATACTGTATATTTGAATGAGATGTTTCTCGCCTTGAATGTGTTATTGTTCTCCTTCATTTATCATTCTGCTTAACTTTTGTTTGCACTTTTTCTTCTTTGTTTGTTTGCTTCTTCCTTTCTGTCCCTGAATCCTTTCCCACCCCTTTGCTAAATCCATTATTTGACCTAAATTAGATCATTGAACCAGAAAGGAAGGGTGCAAATTATACCTGTAGATTCTGGCATGGGCGTTGAAGATTGGGAAAAAAAATACAAAGGGCTTGGTAAGCCCCAGCTGAGTGACTTCCTGGATGATCGGGAAGACGACATTATCCTTCGAATGGGGAGACACCAGCCCGAGCCATCACATATCTCAAGCAGTGGTGTTCAGCCCTCCAGCTACCCTGAGGGCTATGACACTATTGATCGGCAGCGAAAGAAAAAGATAAGAGACCCAGGGGGGTTGCTCTGTAGAGAGGGAGACAAAATGAGGCAAGAGGCTGCTCCTTCTGACCTTGCACTCCTCCGTGAGAAGAGGGGGGAGCTGTTTATGCGGCAGGTTGTTGAGATGCAGGAGAAGGAGGAGCGTATGACCCCAGGCCTTAGGCCAAACCAAAATGCGCTTCTCCACAAGACAAGGATGTGGGCGAAAAACGAGCTGGACCACACTTTGCAGAATTATGTGGCATACAAAAAAGAGCAAGACTCTCAAAGGAGGGGAAGGTTTGATTTTGATTTAGAAAACCACGAGGATCTGCACTACCCCTTTGGAGCAGAGGAGGACATTGAGGACGTTGCCTTCTTAATGGAAGATTTTCACCCAGATAGTGCAAGGCATTACAAAGACAGGTCTTCTTACTACGGTCACATAGAGAATTGTCAGGGCCCGCGTAAGTGTGGCAAAGCTAAACTTGGAGGATGGGCTCCAGAGCCAATGCTCTCTCCTGTAGAAGAACCAAGTGATGAATATGTAGACCCAATGGATGAGCTTCAGTGTCTGGTTGAAACCGTTTCGGAATACCTTGCTGAAAAAGAGGAGGAGATTAGCAGGTATGGTTCCCTTCCTAAGTCAAGCAAATCAAGGCTATCATCTCTGGGTAGCTATAAAACCGATTCATTGGGAGAGGACCAAAACAGTTCATCAAACAATCCTCCAGGAGACACCCAACCGCGCACCCCTCCTGATCCGGGTATTTCTGGAGTAAAAAGTGCCATGAGCTCATTATTTAGTTCTCTCACTGACCGAGTGGGAGTAGGATCTAAACAGCCAGTCCTGTCTCCACAAGCACCATCTGCTCAACCTTCCAGCCAATCTGGACTAACAAATTTGTTCTCCTTTATTCCTAAATCAAATAGCTCAGCTCCCGTAGCTGTTGTCTCTCCAGTAGAAAATTCTCATGACAAATCAATCAGTTTCTTGCCTACTCAACCACCACATGAAGCCAAGACGCAAGGTCAAGAAACAAAAGATCAAACATGGATTGAGACTCAAACAAGTATAAAAGAACAACAGACGTTTGAAACAAGACCTCAAAGTACTCCAATTAACTCAGTCTTGGGGAAATTGAATCCTTTAACGCTTTTTTCAGCAGGGGATAATGACAACTCCGCTAAACAGGGACCAGAGTCTGCATATTTTCAAGGCCATACACAATGGAATGAGAAACGTGCTTGCCAGGCAGTGACAGAAGAAGGAAAAAGAAAATCCGAAAAAATAACAAGTACATCGCAAAAGAAATATTTGGGGCAAAAACACGATCAAAATTTGTATGGTAGAGAAAATCCGACGATTTACGGAAAAGGAAATGTGCCTATTCCAACCAGATTATCTGGCCAAACGCAATCAGCGAACACTGGATTCTTTAGCCCTTTCAAGAAGACATTTGGTTCATTGATCACATCTGCTGCCCCATTTCCACCTCAGGGAGCTCCTCCTGTGGCAGTGTATCCAGTTTTTAGATCCGCAGAGGGTCTCCGAGTAGATAAAACAGTGGACGAGCCATCATTGAGCAGTAAGATCAACCGTCCTTTCCTCTCCTCTGAAAATGTCCCCACTCAGGAGCGTCCCAAATCAGAGGGCGGAATGCTGTCAGGTTTTCTAAAGTTTACATCCAATGAAGATGTTAGGGCCTCCATAAACGCACAGAATCCTGCGCGATCGCATCAAGATTCAACTTCAGCAACAACCACCACATTGACACTCAATCCTGGTGTGACCCAGGAAAACACTGAGAAAGGATGGTTTTCCAGCCTATTTAATCCTACTTCTGCTCCCTCTGTTTCGCACCAGCAAATTCAGAACAGCAAAGTGTCATCTGTCGCACACAGACAAAACATATCAATTCAGCAACCAATAGCAGACCCCCATGGGATGCAGCATCAAGCACCCAGTCAGCCTGAATCCAATTTTTTGACAGGCCTTTTCAAAGGGAGCTCAGGTGAGGACATCTCTCACATGGGCTCTAATCAACCCAAACAAGGACTATCTGGACTTCTTAAATGTGGCAATTTGCCACAGCAGGCTTCCCCCAACAATCAAGCACCCAGGAGCAGTAGTTCCTCCCAATTTCCAAATCAACCTCCCCCACAACAAAGTTATTCTGTACCACGGATGGGGGGTCTTGTCTCCGGGTTATTGAAGTTTACATCCACAGAAAATATGCCACAAAATGTACAGCCTGGTGAAGCTGAAAAGCGGGGGAACATCCCTGGAAATAATTATTGTCAGCAGCAGATTTCAGATGAAACCCAGCAAACGCCATCCCTGCAAAAGGGCTTGTTGTCTGGCTTGCTAAAATTTGCATCTTCTGAGAATGTTTCAACCAGCCAAACAGTTCACCATCAACAAAGCAATGCTCAACACAATCAACAGGGTTACGGCCAACAGAATACCCAAGTGCCAAACCAGGGAGATCCTTTCAGGAATAAAGCATCAGGTCAGCAAGTTGGCCAACATGAGACCAATAAACCAGGCTTTGCTCAACAACAAACGGTTCCACTCCAACAAATGCCATCGCAACAAAGTGGGATTTTATCTGGTCTTTTTAAATTTGCTTCAGCAGACGACATAAATGCACAACAGCAGCCATCTGCTCAACAGCACGGAATTCTGCCAAGTAGATCCAGCTATGAGCAATCAAGAGCAAGGACTGTCCCAATTTCTCACCAAAATATACCACAAAATAGCTCAACACAAACTACTCATGCAAGTGGTCTTCTTTCTGGACTTTCTAAATCTTCCCGGGAAAATACAGCTCAACAGCAACAGCCCCAAATTATCCATGTAACCCAACGACATAATAATGTGCCAAGCAGTCAGGCCACTGCAGCACAAGTGGAACCAGCAGGTCAATCTGGAGTGCTCTCTGGGTTGTTTAACAAGTTAACCAAATCCTCTGAAAACGTCCACACAACCTGCAAAACAAGTGTAGGACAATCTTTGCGTCAGGAAGCCAATAATTACGCAGTTATAGTAAAGACCCCACTACAAACCAAATTTCCCACTAATGTAACACAACAATCCTCACATGAACATGCAGAGAAAGAGAAGAGGAGTCCACGAGCTGCCCAACAAGGGTTCTTATCTGGCCTGTTTAACAAACATGTTACCGAGGACCCTTGTACCCATAAACAAGTAGAAACAAGTCAGATTACACAGCAAGAGATGCCCTTAAATTCAGGCTTATTAAATTTTAGTGGTCCCTCAGACTTTGGAGGAGACAGCTGTACAAGAGTTGTTCGAGATTCTCTTAATCCAAGACAGAGCAGACATGCTTTCATCAATGCCCCTCTCTCAGTAGATACTGAGGGTCTAGACTTAAGAACATCTGCTACCTTTGCAAGAGCTCTTCAAAGTCAGGAACCATACTCCTCAATTAGCACAGGTAATTTATCTCAGTTATATTATTCCAACTCCCTTCAATCAGTACACCCATTAGCTTATAGTACTGGAAATATCCATTCCCTTTTACAGAGCCCTACTCCTTCCTCAGCAATGGCCATGCCGCCATACATTTGGGGAAGCACGTCCTCCTTGTATGGAGCAACGCAGCATAATCCTTACCAAGGTCAGTTGTCCCCTTATGGAAAAAGTCCCTCATATGATGAAAACCAGTGGATCCGTGAAAGTGCTCTCTGGCAGTCTTTACAGAGTGAGTCACAGAAATATCAATTCCAGGGAGAAAATCAAGTTTACAGACACAGCTGTGAAGGTGGCTCATTAGCGACATCTGCTCTTCCCTACAGCTCCTCAACTACATATCCGCCATTTGACTCCTCCATCCCAATGCAAGGTGTCATTTGCCAAGAGCAAATTCCACAATATAAGTTTGAGCGACACATTAATGACGATCCCAGGAAGAGATTATGGAACAGCCACGAAGAGTTGGGAAACCTAGAATATTCACCGAATAAGGAGGGCGCATTGAATTTAACTAATGAACAAAGTAATGCACGGTTTGGGAAATGGCACTCGTTTAATGATGGCAGCACTTACAGCTTGAATGGGGTTTCATATCACGAAGGTTATTACGAGGAGACTGCACCAAGCTTATCTTTTTCAGCAAACTGGCCATACGGAATGGATAATGCAGTCCTACAAAATGTTCATTCTGATGGTATGCTCCATCAAAGTCAGTTTAATTGGAACAGACCAATAGATTCAAGCTATCGTCCAAAAACTCAGACCGAAGACTCGTATCTCGAAGACACTGAATGGTATCAGCAGTGGCTCGCACTTTTGGAGCAAGGAATGTGGTGGCCAGCAGAAGATGGAGACTGTGGCTACTTTGTTTACACAGATCATGAGTACATTTATGCCTTGCTTACAGATGCAGCAGGTGAATATGTGTATGCATGTGCCCCTGAAAGTGAGTGTTGGGGAAATGCACAGAAATTAGATGGTTGTCCAAGTGCTTGGCTACAAAGTGAAATGGTTTTAGTATGTGGCTTTAAAATTGCACTTTACAATGAGGATGAGCTTCTTTGGCTCCCTGGTGAGGAGCACAGCGGTTCTCAACTTCTTAATGCACCCTTAGATTTGTCTGCAGCTTATAGAAAAGGAAATCAGATCATGAATTTAAATCTTGAGCAGTTCTCTGAAATGTTTGAAAATTCATTTCAGTCACAAGGTCAACCATGTGTAGATTTCACATCTTACAGATTAAACAAAGTCAGGATGGATCCCAGACTTCCCAGTTACATCTATGAAGACCAATGCACAGATGTTATTGACCTTTCCTGTCATAATAAAGACCCCATTGGACCATGTTGGAACAACCAGGAAATGAAGACATTTCTTGCTCAAAAGGTTGCAGTTACCCTGAACTCTACTCCAACTGCAAATTCAGATCAGCAGCTACTTCACAACTGTTACAACCCTTGCCAACGGCGACGGTCATCCACTGGGGTTACAGTGAAGCATGTAGATGATGTATCCGAGAAGGAATGGAGAGATAGGGTGTTTCCAGGAGAGGAACAACCCAATCGTCAAGTTAACAAGATTTCTTCCCTCATATCTTCTTTTGTGGGAAAAACATCACAGGCAGAGTTCAACAAAACTAGTATAGCCTCAAGTGAAAAAGCCCCTGACAAAAATGCAAAGAACATTCTTACGTCAGGTTTCCAAAGTGTGAAGTCAAAAATAATCAACGAGGAATCTCCAGCTGACGCAACTCAGCCAGCTACCACACAGAGAAAAATTTTACCCACAGTATATGCGACTGCTCAAGCGAATCAGCCGTCAATTCAATCACATACAGCTTCACAAAAACCTAAGCTTTTGCGTCAGACTACCTTGGTACATCAAGCAACCCCACAAACACAGCCAATTGTCACAGTGCCTTCAGAATCAGAAGAATATCTTTTTAAACCTGGACAACTTACAGCTGGTAAGCCAGTGGAAATACCAGTTGATAAACCATCTGAACAACAACCAGGCTTCATGAACTTTCTGAAATCTGCAGTGGGAATAGAAGAACCTGTACTAGATTCACAGAAATTACCTCACATTTCATCAAATGAACAGAGCAAAACTGGCATTACAGTTTCCTCACCAGTCAGTGCTCCTACAAATAAAGAGGCAACAGGAGTGTCAAATCTCTTTGGATCAATTAGCAGCCTGTTTACCACAGAGCCCTCTCCACCCCAGAAACTGCAAATGAAACCTAGTGTTACAGAGGGCTCACTGAAATTGGCATCTAGGCCCAAAAGTATACAGAGACAACAAACCACAGACCAAAGTGGTATGTATCAGCCCGTGCAGCGCCAACCCCCAAACAAAAGTCAATCCCAATCATTTACCATGGGTTCTTCCACAGGCCCTACTACAACCCGATCAGACACTATGCCATCTATAGAACAGAAAAAACAAGAAGGAGGAACTAAACCATCTGGGGGACTGTTTGGATTTTCTATTGGAGACATGCTTGCCGGATCAACAGCAGCCACTCAATCTGGACCCACAACTCAATCAGTTTCATCATCTACAGCTCCACAAGAAGAATCCCTTGGTAAAAGTATATTATCAATTTTTAGTGGGCCAAATCCTACACAGGCTGCACCTAAAACTGGGTCCTCGCCTCAAGCACATCCACCAAATGCAGCTCCACAACCTCCTCAGCAGGAATCGCTCGGTAAAAGTTTATTATCTATGTTTGGAGGATCCAGTCCTCCTCATCCTGCCCCTCAAACCAATTCTGCTGCTGATGAACAACAACAGGGAACTGCTCCTCCAAAAGACTCTCCTAATACTGGGTTCCTTTCCATGTTTGGTGGTCCGAGTAACCAACAGCAAGCCCAAACAGGATCTCTTCTAGGGGGGATCCTTCCAGGATCGTCAGGTTCAACTGAAATCCCAAAAAAGGGACTGTTTTCAATGTTTAGTGATCCCAGTCCTCCACAACCTCAGCCACCAACATCGTCAAATCAACAAAGAGTACCCCAGTCAAAAACTCAACCTCAAGGGGAACCTCAGACACAATCTAAACCACAAGCACAAGGGCAGCTACCCACCTCTGTTATTGGGGGCATATTGGGTGGTTTGTCTACCTCTAGTGAAAGTCCAAGAAAAACAATATTTTCTATCTTTAGTGGCCCCAGTACTCCTCAAACACCAGAAACTAGTGGAAGTTCAAATGTGTCTACTCCTCCAGTAACTGCAGCACCAAAAGAACCTACAAAGATTATAAGCTCTGTATGTAATGATGTTGTGTCACCTCCACAACAAACTCCTTCTTCAACACCCTTTGTTGTTACTGATACTAATGAGCCACGATCAGCACAATGTTCTGCCCAAATGCCATCCGTTTCCAGTAGCCATGTCCCAGTGACAGCAGCTGGCAGTGAAATAGTAAGTGACGTGATTGTTAGCTCACCCACTACTACAGATTCTATACAAGATTCTAAACTTAAAGACACTGATATTGTATGTATGGAGCCAAACTTTGAATATGACACTATGGAAAAACAAACCGGCATGGACGGTGCAACCAAAGACCCTGCTTTTACTAAAGAACCACCAGCTTCTGGCCTTATGTCTATGATAAGTGGGTCAAGCCCACAGAATCCATCCTCAAATACAGCATTCCTTTTAGATGGTTCAGGTGAAGGTTTAATTTCATTATTTTCTGGCCCCAGCACGAAACCTAGTGCTGGCCAGACAGGTCCTTCACCTATAGGGTCTGACTGTGTATCTTCAGACCCCAAGGACCCACCAGCCACAGGTTTGTTCTCTCTGTTCGGAGGTTCTGTCGCTCAATCCTCTCCGCAACCTGGAAGTTCTTTATTGGGGGCAGTGTTTGGAGGCTCTTCAACCCAAACAACAGCTTCTCAATCAGGTGGGTCGTTATTAGGCAGTTTTTTTGGAGGGTCTGTTCCTCAGGCGGCTCCCCAAGCTGCTCCCAATAAGCTTGGAGTATCTGCTCTTCCGACAGCAGGTTCACAGTCTGGGGCATCCCTACTTGCAGGCTTTTTTGGTGGATCTGCTCCTCAGGCGGCTGGATCTCAAACGACACGGCCTATTTTGGGTGGGATTTTTGGAGGATCAGCAGCTTCAACAACAACGCCTCAGACTAGTGGGTCCTTTGGTGGATTGTTTGGAAGGACTGATAACCAAACTTCTGCACCCCCAAAGAGCAGCTGTTTTTTGGAAGGACCATCTTCTCAAATAGCTACAGCGCAGACTGGTACATCTCTTCTGGGGGGAATTTTACCTGGAGCTTCAGCTCCCCATGAGATACTTGATAAAAGATTGCATTCTGTTGAAGTATCTGACCCTCCCCCAACCCCCACTACAGCAGCCACACCAATATCAAATGATGACACAACTTCACATGCAACTGTTCTACCAAAACCCAGTGATGACAGTAAAACTAGTCCAGCTCTGACTCGTCCTGACATGTGTGTAATTGATACCAAAAGCAAAGAGCAGACGGTAACACTACAACAACCTGATGATAAAGTCCAGTCTCTTGAAACAAGCCTAGCCCAAACTGGCTGCAATGTCATAGAAAAAATGAATTGCCAAGATGCTGACAAGCCAACTACCTTAGCTAAAGATATTCCGTTCCAAGAACAAGCAAAACAACTTGCAGGACAAGAATTTGTGAGTGGCCCGTCACATCAAGATAAAATAACTCCTACAGTAGATGAGGGAAAATCAGCCACTCAACCACCAAGTACTGTTGTACAGGGACAACAAAATCCTCCAGAGCCAGATAATTATATTGGTGACTCAGCAGCAGATGCAGTTACAGGCTTTATGTCATCCATTTTCAAACCAACTGGTCCTGATACTGAAGGTCCTCAGCAACAGCAAAAGAGCTCACTTTTTGGACTTGGAGGAATTTCACCTCAAGCAGGTACTGTTCCGAGTGGAGCGTCCCTATTGGGAGGTATTTTTGGAGGGTCCAACACAGACACAGCAGCTCCTCAGACCGGGGGATCATTATTGGGAGGTTTATTCAAGGGGTCTGGTTCTCAGTCTGGAGCTCAAACCACTGCCCCCAACGCTGGAGGATCATTATTAGGCGGGATGTTTGGAGGAGGATCCACTGCCAAGTCCGCGGGTCCCCAGGCTGGTGGATCGGTACTGGGTGGGATGTTTGGAGGATCTGCGGCAACATCCCAGCCTGGCGGTTCAATACTTGGAGGAATGTTTGGAGGAGTCAGTGCTCAGACTGCAGGATCACAGACTGGAGCATCAATACTTGGGGGCATAGGTGGATCTTTATTTGGGGGTATGGGACAAACACCCAACAAGCCATCTGAACAAATGCCAGCTAAGCCCAAGCTATTGCCAGGAACTACACCCCAGTCACAGATTAAGAACGAAAGTGTACCACCAAAAGGGGCACTATGTGACTCTGAGACTAGCATAAATAACATAGTGGACACAACCATACCAGATAATTATCAATTATCTACAGAAAAAAGCCCTACAAGTGAACTCACCCATCAAGTGGAAAAAACGGAAGAAAAAACACCTGCTTATGAGGCAGAAACGATACATGAGAAGCCCATGGTCATTAAAAGAGATCTTCAGAGTAAAGAAAGTGGCACATCAGTGCCACCTGATACTAAGGAAGCAATTACTAATATAGCATCTCCAGTATATCAGTTGCCCAACGCAGAGGCACCTCAAGCTAAGTCTCTTTTTGGTTTTATATCAACACAGAGTGATGCAGGGAAGTCTCTTGGATCCCTATTTTCCCCAACAATGTCATCGGGAGGTCCATCAGTGCCTCAAACAGACGGAGTAAGTGGTCTGTTTTCAGGATTAAAAACCTTTTCTGGAGGCCTATTTCAAGATGAGAGACCTGTTGTTGGAAAACAAGAGCCAGCCACCACTTCAATATTTGGATCAAAACTAAGTTTTCCTTGGCAGGCAGAGCCCCCCAAGCAACAAGCTGTGCCAGTTGTAACATCTCAACCTAAAACTAACAACAAGCCTCCAAATGCTCAAACACTTACTGTACAAAAGATTCCAACATCCGATGCCCAAAGAAATGAATCGGTAGGTTCCACCGATGATATAGCAAACCCCCAGATTTGCGTCTCCGCTCCTGAAGTAGATTCTTCAGCATCCCTGACCCCAAAGGAGAAGGAAGGGCTTGTAGAAACATACCCGTCTGCAGGTCCTACCTCAGGAGTGCAGCTGGACAGCCAGTCCAAGAAGGATCTATTGAATGCAAAAAGGCTAGTAGAAGCATAATAAATGGCATTCCCTCTCACCATTTATGATGCCCTGACCTTTTGGGGAAAAAAAATGTATTCCCTGTTCAGCTGTGCAATCCATCATCACTAGATCAGTTTAGTATTATTCAATCTTTTTTAGCTTGAGCCTATGTGTACCTGTATTGTGGTCTATAGCAGTGGTCCCCAACCAACGGAACACTGGTCTATAGTCTATAGGATAGTGTGTGTGTGTGTGTGTGTGTGTGTGTGTGTGTGTGTGTGTGTGTGTGTGTGTGTGTGTGTGTGTGTGTGTGTGTGTCTTCTGTGGTATGGATATTTTGTGTGCATCGTCATCATTTTCCAAACAGAATTCCCGAAACAAAATTTCCATATTTATATACTTGCAGTAATAATAATTAAACATATATATTATATATATATGTAATGGTTATAAATAAATTATTTAAAGAGTGCCAATATCTCTCCTACTCCTTCGATACTGATTTTCTTGTTCACCTGAACTTCTATAGTCAATAGCAAATTTCCACTCCCCTATAGTTTGTTAGGAAAGAAAATATTTATAGGCTCAAATATGAACACAAACACCCCCAACATTAAAAATAATGTAAATTTTGTTTGAGCAGGAATTCTGATTTATGTTTTAATTTATGTGGTCACAATTATATTCAAGTTACCTTTTAGGATATTTAACTAATCTGTATTATGTCCCTAAAAATGAAAATGAAATGACAGTTTTTCCTCATACACTGTGCCAATTTTACTATCCTCCGACATTCCACAGTCTCTTTTTAGGTTATAATGCGGTGTGTAGAGGTTTTCTGTAGATATGAGGCGCTTAGTACACCCTAAAAAGCTCAAAGCCTAATAGGTTGTTTGCAGATGACGTCACACAGTGGCGTGCTTTCCAGATGGAGGGCAGGCAACTGGAGGCAGGTTCAATACTGCAGCAATAATGTCTAATGGTTTGGGCTGTTAACAGTTGTTCCAACGAATCTAATGATGGGGAAAACACTTCCTAGGAATTTGTTTTTAGCGATGCTAGCTATCTGGGCAAAAACAAGATTTCCACTATTTCGCCGCTCACAAAATTGTGGTAAGACTTTAGAGTGTCATACACCTTCATCTGGCAAGCTGTATAGTAGGAAGTCTAGGGGACGTATTAAGATTCTTTTTCCTGCCCTCCATCTCAATTTTGGGTGAATAGAGACTTGATTGCAAACAAGCTATTGTGTTTTTCTAGTACTATATAGCATTAAAACTGATAATTACAGTTTCTATTCATTCATTTAATTGACACAATCTGACAATGAATATTTTCCTCGCTCCTCTCGCCTTTGTAGTCCAGTGGAAAGTAGTCGCTTTGGATCATCTGGAAACCTGAGCCAGACCAGCTCCCAGCTTAGTGAGACTGGGCAGGAGAGCACTGGAGGGTCCGAAGTGGAGGAGTCATTCCACGCCTACCACAGCACCAGCTTTCATCCCTCCACCAATGGGCAACCACCCACCAATGGACATTCTACTGTCGGTGAGCGGCAGAAGCATGGGCTGGCCCCTGAAGTAGGACGGGGCCTGCTAAAGGACCCACCAGCAGAGCGGGGCTCCTCCAAACTGCTACGGTATGGTTTATGCACAGAATTCAACCCTGGATATGTAGATCCTCCAATGAAGATACTGAGGGATTGTCTCCAACTCTTTCTGCAACCCTGTCCTGAAATCCATGTAACCCAGGTTCAATGATGATGGGCCGCCTCTACCATTTTCCCCATCCAGAGTTCGTTGGTTGAAGGTCATCAATAAAGTGAGGGTTCAGCTCCGGGAGGTAGGCAGTGGTTCAGTTACTCCACCAAAGTTTGATCTGTCATCACCTCCTGAAGTCTGACGTTCTTTCCTTTTTTTGTTTTTCTATGTGAACATTCGCATTTTCAGTTCTATGACGGTGGTTGAGTTTTACCTTGTTGGTTGTTTAAGACACTGCATATACTGTTTATAGATGTTTTGTTAAGTTTACTCCTCTGCGCCCTCATATTTACAATTATTAATTCTGGGTAGTACACAGGCAAAGTTTTTCAGCAACAGTGGAACAACTTGGGATTCAGCTCCTGCACAGAGTCGCTCCTAAACCATTTTCAAGTTAAGGATAACAGCATTTTGTTTAGTTTCACCCAACCAATATGAAATGCAGTAAACCTTTCATAAACTCGCTCCTCAGTGCCGCAGCTGCCTAGCAGACATAGAGAGGTGAGATAATAGTGTAGAGCTGTCCCTAATGTTATTTGTTACTGAATAACAAGCGTTTTAATTCCGAGGGCTAAAGGTAAATTGGTAAAAATATATATCTCGATACTAAAATTGAACAGAATACCCAAATATTAGAACATTTTGATCCAGCCTTACCATACTGCCCAGTTTGTTAGCTTTGCATTTGCAATTCAGTTTAGATAGGCTGTGTCTGCCTCATTCCCCACTCTGTCACACTCTTCGTTGGTGGATTGTTGCTCTTCACATGGCACTGTGATTGTGAGGCTAAAGTATAGTGTCCCTCTGTTGACTAACGTCCATCACGTATTGCCTAAGGGCCTATAATTTGCCTTTGCAGATGGTGTCAGAGCCCATGCTCCACTGTCAATGGTGACTCAGTGGTGGTCACTGAGTACTTTTCTTGGGAAGTGCTTAATGGGCCAATAAACGGTGGTCCAGGGACAAGACTATATCACCCTACCATCTCTTCTCATTTGAACAGTCTATTGAAAGAGAATGATGTACAGCAAGCGATGAGATGTTACAATTCCATCGTCGGAGCAGTTTATCCCTTCATTTTAGATGTATTTTAATGCATTTGGGGCCCCTCATTTCTTTGAAAAAGTACCATTATACACACAGGAAATCATGGTGTCAAAATGCGATGCCACGTAGCCTCAGAACAACCCAATACCAATCTGGACAATTTGTACGGTAAATCTGGTCTTGAAAATAGTCAGGGAATCTTGAGAGGATGGTCATAATAAAATCATAAGGATCTCTATACTTTAACCCCTGATTATGATTTTTACAGCACAGCAGTAAAGAAGTATATATAACCTCGATTGGCTCCATTATAATAATAGGTTTGCATGCACTCACATTGTAAGTGATATCTGATCGAACACATGAGAGAATGCACGGTGAAAGTGCCATTTATTACAGGACAAATAGGAAAGAAGTAGAGACTTATAAAGAGACACTGTAAATGAACCGTGCATTTAGGTTTAAAATACAGAGAATAGAACAAAATATTTACCGTGTTTACGTTTCCTCGAAATACAGAGCAGGAAGTGAAAACTAGCTTCCAGTGTAAGTTTACAATACTAATACCATTCATTATTTGCTGTTCTCAAGTATGGCATTTTGGATATTTTGAAGACTTTAAACTAGCAATTGAAAGGTAATAAATGAAAAGAGGCTAGTTTTCTCATACACCTAAACAAACCGAACCCACTGATGTCCAAGAGAATTAATAATAATATATAAATAATAATTAGTTTGTCACTCACACATTAGAAAAGAATAAAATTACAAAAGAAATTTAGAAATAAGCAAGAAAAACAGTAACTGCTTGTAAGCCATTGGTACAGATATATTTATAAGGGGTTATTTTCACTTTTTAAAGAATAGAAAGAAAATAATCCCAAATATTAGCAGTCAGCAGCATAAACACCGACAAAGGAGTAAATGTGACTAAGAGCTACCTTGGCTCAGCTTTGTGCTGGAATTCTCTGCCAGAGGACAGAAGGAGAGAGCGGGGAGAGGGTGTGTGAGGGGGAGGAGGAGGGGTAGCGATGGCTACTTAACCGAGAGTACCGAGAACGGCTGTGTGATCGGGGTCTGCCGCTGTGACACTTGCCGCTCCAGTGGCAGGAAGGAGTCCACCTCTGTCAATTAGAGAAGATCTGCTGGTGCAATTGAGGCAAAGCACCACTTTTGATAATAACCCCGGGATACATTTTGAAGACAAACCGGGAGTTTACTGTTTCTGGTCTACGGAGCGACTCTAATCTTGCAACATGACATCTTCAGATTGTTCTTGATTTTATTTATTTTTTCAGAATGAGGTAAGGCTTGCATTTTAATATATTTGTTTATCCTTTGAATCACCTCCAATTTAATTAAACAAAAAGAAAAAAGGCATGTTATACTGAGCAAAACTTCTGTTCCTATCTATAATGTACATAGAAAATAACTTATTGCTTCTATAGAAACTTTTCATAGCAAATACTTGTCTTGCCACAGATTTAGTTTGGTGAGAAAATTAACTTCTGCATGCAAATACTGTGACAGTTCTGGAAAAAGGTGTCAAAGCTCAATGGACAAAGTTCATGTCGCTGATATATGTTGAGACTAAATGGAAGGAGCATGTAAGACATATCAATATACTTGCTAAACCAAAGAATATTGTATGTTTCACATGCATGAATTGATTCTTATGCGCATTTAATTCCATTCAATTTATTTTATTTTGTGTAGCCCAAAATCACAAATGAAGGATTTACCTCAGAGGGCTTTACAGTCCACATGCAACATCCCTGTCTCGAAGCCCGCACATCGGCACAGGAAAAACTCCCCCAAAATGTTTTTAATGTAAATGTATACTATGCAAACTGCTGCAATTTCCCCGTAATGATTATGTATGCCATCAGATATATTTAAGTTTAGTTCAAGTCAACTGGATGAGGCTGCACGGTGGTGTGGTGGTTAGCACTGTCGCCTCACAGCAAGTTCTGGAGCAAGGTCCTGGGTTCGACTCCGCCCAGCAGGCTTTCTGTGTGGAGTCTGCATGTTCTCCCCGTGTCTGCGTGGGTTATCTCCAGGTTCTCCGGCTTTCTCCCACAGTCCAAAGACAAGCACTGGGGATTAGGTTAATTGGGGAATCTAAATTGCCCGTAGGTGTGTGAATGTGAGTGTGAATGGTTGTGTGTCTCTGTGTTAGACCTGCGATTGGCTGGCGACCGTCTCTCGCCTGAATATGGGATAGACTCCAGCCCCCCCGCGACCCTGTGTGCAGGATAAGCGGTTTGAAGATGGATGGATCAAGTCAGCTGGTATGGGTGTGAAAGAATGACATGGCCTTAGAGGAAAGTATCGAGCTATTATCTAATTATCAAGCTTTCCACAGCATCCCAACTAGAGATGTAGGCAGCTGCATTCTGGCTCAGTTATAGATGTTGCCCATCCCTCTTCTTTACTGTAGACTCTTAAATATTAACAAATACCTTTTATAGCCAATATTATTGGCTAACAAATTGTTAGCATTATTTTTTACCAAATGATCGCATTGTCAAATGTTCGAATCATTAGATATAGGAATTTTATAACTGACAAATTACAAGTAGCACACAAAAGTTGAGTTTTTTTGGCTCAAAAAGTGTTGATCAATTTTTTCAGCAAAATAACTCTGTTTTTTCAGTACAGGCACTCAGCCATTTAAAGTGTAAAATATCAGCTTACGCTATGCTATACACCACTGTGAGTAGGAGGAGTTACTGAAGCACTGTGTTGTCCATGTGGGGGGACAGCTGACGACCGGTGCCACTTCTCAGAGATGCTCCCCAGAGGACACCCCGGTGGACAGGATGAACTCTACAAACCGGAACCACTCCCAGTGTCGCACAAGAGGCAAGACCTGAAGAGATCACAGAGCCCCAAAGTGGGGCAAAGCCTGCGCAGAAAGCTGCAGCAGTGCCTGCAGGGACCAGAGGATGACTCCCTTCATGACCTCTCATCCGTGGAAACTATCTGCACCAAAGCTGACAACAGCACTTCGGCTTGCCTGGATGGCATCGGGGCTGTGGAGGACACTCTACCCGGGCTTATTGAAAAGATCCGAAACATTGAAGAGAAAAAGGAGAGGGGGGATGAAGAGGAAGAGGGAGGCTCTGGCAACATTGTGGAACATATTCTTAAAGAGCTGAAAGGCATCAACAAGATCCAGGAGGAGATTTCCGACCTGAGGCAGTATCTAACATCTGTGCGAGGCTCGGTCGATGAAGTATCTTGTTGTGTCGATGCAGTGCTCAGTGAAATCGGTGAGCTTTACTCTGGGGCTTCAGCTGCACCTCATCCTACTCGAGCCGCCGAAACGTCACGCATCAGGCGAGGAAGCCTGGGTAGACAGAATGCCATCACATCTCTTCAAGGGAGCGACACCGATCCACTGTTGCATCGCAGCAAATGCGGAGACGATTCCAAACGTTTGCCTTCCCATAGATCACCTAAAGATTGGCACAATGACACAGTCAACCCCCAATTGGAACACCAAACCGACAATGAGAACTCAAAGCATGATTCGAACATGAGCATGCTCGGCCCTTCTAAACCTGAACCCAGCTACTTGGATAGGGGCCATGACTACCAAAGCACCAGCTCTCTGTCCTCGTGCCACAGTTCCAATTTCCCAGGAGCGAGCCTACGCTCTGGTGACACCGAATATGAAGGGTGGCCTTCTGATGATATGCAGCACAGCGTCAGTGGGGAAGGAGCTTGGAGTGAGGAGGACATCTGCTCTTGCGGGAACAGCGGAGAGGAGCTTGAGAATGGTGTCAGTGTTTGGAGGGGGTGCACCACAGAGGGGACACAAAGCATCACACCAGGTCATTCGTCACACAACAGCTCTGAGCATTTTGCGTTGCTGTTCGGACACCAGCACAACTCTCCTTCCAATTCTTCCAGTAGGCTTGACTGGATTAGACTACCAACCGAGCAAGAAAACCTGGAGTGCGACTGTTCTGCAAACTGCCCATACTCCCGTAGCTCTGGTTACCACACCATGGATGCTTGCGCAAACAAACTGGGCAGTGAGCCCTCCGGGAGTCCAAGTCGCTCCACTGTGCTGTTGACGGACTGCGATGATGCTTACCTGCAATCACATTCACTGTGCGATGACTGTGCGTCTTCTGGTGACACCCTTGATCTGGGGTCTGCTGATAGTTTGGACAAGGAGTGGACCGATCACACCATCTCCAGGGATGAAGCAGGAGATTCTTTGTCACAAGAGTCTTCCGAAATAGATCCTGATAGTGAAGCCAGGACCCCCAATGTAGGGGTTAATGTGACCACTTTTAGCAAGGCTGTATTCACTTTCCAGTCGGCTTTGAAAGGGGCTCTGAAAAAGTTAGAAGGATCCAGCCCTGAAGGTGTTAAAGATGATAGTGGATCAGAAGCACCTGAATCCCCTGTTAGAGACGCCAGTGATCTGAAGGAGGAGCAGAGGAGAACAGATCTTACAGAGGCAGCGGTCAGTCTGACAGAGAATCCTACCCAGCTTGGCCCTCCAAAGAAGCAGGGTAAAGCGTCGGCCCAAGTGGATTGTGGTGATACACATGAGAGGTCAAGCTCCCTTCAAGCATCCCCCCGTGAAGCAATTAACTCTCCCTGCACCCCGACTGAATGTCACTCTGGAGACATTTCTCGGGACAACAGAGAATATCCAACAGATGGGGAACCGTTCAAGCTTGCCCTAACACCAGACAGTTGTCCACCAAGGCAGGATGAGTGTTCCCTGGGCTCAGGGGTCAGTACAGATGAGGTGCAGTTAAGTCCAATAGGGGAAACTCACGTTCTTGACAGCGAAAATCAAGGAACGTCCACAGATGCCATTCACAGGGAGCGTATGGCTAATTTCCAGCGCATTCTGAGGGAAAAGCGCCAAACCCGTAATAGACTGTCCAAATCTACTCCGGGTTCCCAGGGGTCCAAAGGCTCTCAGGTGTCTCAAGGGTCTCAGGGATCCCAATATCAAGATGAGTTTACTCCAGGTATATTCTATACTTCAATTGTTGACAAGCTCAGTAATAACAGCAAAAACATACATCTCAAAGCATTTAAAGACCCGATGAACTGTGACATTATTATTATTATGTGTCGGTTATAAACACTCATACTTTCTAATCCTACTGTGATTTTTCTTCTTTTTTTTCTTTGCAGAATGTTGGACAGAAGATTATCAGGTTACTCATATAACAATAGCTATTTAAGCTGCAGTTGTTTTCCTGTTGATGTAGGTCAATGTGGGATGGTTGTTTTAGCATGTGGGTTGCTTGTCTTTGTCAAAGAGAGGGCTTGTGCACTCGGAGGTTACCATGGGGCTGATTTAGTATTTCATAGTTTTTTATTGTTTCATCTATGTTTAATCTTTAGCGAGCAAATCCCCAGTTCTTCGTGCAAGCCTCCCACAGAATTCCAAATGATTTCAGAAACTCTTACTTGGAGTTAACCCTGACGGGATCCCACATACCCCGGGACTTCCAAATTATCTGGGGTATCTGTTAAAGTTTACTTGAGCTGTGCAATAGAAGTATTCCTGTGGCATTGTGCAAGTTATGTTTATTCAATCTTGTGTTTTAAAAGAGTTATTGTTTCGTCTTTTTGTTGTTGTTCTTTAACACCAACAAGGTCAAACTCAACCAAATACAACTTTCAATTATTTCAACTTCCCTCTTCTCAAGCTCTGGTAATTCGCTGTGCAATATAATGTCAAAGTCCTTATAGGCCATCAGCCTAAATTCTGTCTCTTTGGTATCCTGTAGATCCAAGATGAGGAACCCAATGCCAGACAAGCCTGGGTCAAACCAGGGTATGTAATATATTCTACATTTTTTATATATAATATGCTTTTGCCACTATAATCGTTTGAGCTTTGTGGGGACAGTGGAAATGTCCTGAGTTATAGTATGTGAGAACCTTTTATTTACTTTGATTGTTTTGTTGTTGGGGCACAGTGGGGGGTCTGGGCTGTACGGGATTGACAGCATGCCAGATCTGCGTAAGAAGAAGCCCATCCCCTTGGTCAGCGACGTGGTCAGTAGTAACTTGTCATTTGTTCATGTCATGTCACATGTTTGTTTTTGTTCTATGTTGTCATTCTATTTGTGAGACCACCACAGACGTTGCAGTTCTCAGTTAGCAGACAATTATGAAATCAGCCTGCTAATTCCTCTCTCCCTCCTCTCTTAAACCCAAAACTATTTCCCCCAACTCTCTTGAATGCATTCACTCTCCTTGGTCAGGCTATGGTAAGTTAATAGAACCCAGTTGCCACTCCCTTTTCTCCTGAAGCTCAGAATATCAAGTAGGACACATAAAACGGTAGTTGCCTCATACTAGTATGTCCACAACATATTGATCTCTTTAGTCGCAAACCTCTTATTTAACACGAATTAAGGCATTTGCATGCATCTTGGTTAAGGGTAGCCTTTTCTTCCTACTTGATATTATCATTACAATATCAAATCATTCCCTCACCTCCTGGTTGGTATTAACACTCCCATGAAACGTTTGGCTCATGGGTTTCACTAGTCTCCTAAAAACTAATAATACTCACATGGGTTTTCTGATCATCTAGTTTCATCATTGAAAATAAATAATAACCCTACTCACCACCCTGACAAATACGATAGCCTCCCTTTTAACTGTACTGACCTTCATTTTTATAGTAATATTTTGAGCTCTGCTTGGTTGTGGGTTGTGTATACTTTTTGAAAAATTCTTACTTGTCTGAAATGTCCTGTGTCACGCTTTGTTCAGTCTCTTGTCCAAGCCAGGAAGGCGGGAATCGCATCTGCCATGGCCGCACGGTCCTCCGTCAAGGATGGGGAGCTGGTGAGTATCACACATTACACTTTCACTTTGACCAAAACAGAATATTGTCATTCAGAGCTGCTATGTTGTCTTAATTCTGTCGATCAAAGATTCTCTCCCACCTAGTTGGGTTTGATGTGAAAATAAGTTGTCCCACCTTATCTTTCTGCAGAAGAACCATGTGTACAAGAAGACCCTGCAGGCTCTCATCTACCCCATATCCTGCACCACGCCACATAACTTCGAGGTGTGGACCGCCACGACGCCCACATACTGCTACGAGTGCGAGGGGCTGCTGTGGGGCATAGCCCGCCAAGGCATGCGTTGTTCCGAGTGTGGGGTCAAGTGCCACGAGAAGTGCCAAGAGCTGCTGAACGCCGACTGCCTGCAGCGTGAGTACTGCCTGCAGAGCAATAAAACAACACACGCGCCGCAAAGAGTAGTGCCTTGATTTAAATCTGTACTTGGTATTTTGTGTAATTCACAGGAGCTGCAGAGAAGAGTTCTAAGCATGGAGCTGAAGACCGAACTCAGAATATCATCATGGCCATGAAGGACAGGATGAAGATCCGAGAAAGGAACAAGCCGGAAATCTTTGAACTCATTAGGGAGGTGTTCATCGTTAGCAAAGCCACCCACGCGCAGCACATGAAGACCATCAAGCAGAGCGTGCTGGACGGCACTTCAAAGTGGTCAGCCAAGATCACCATCACAGGTGAAGTTTTAAATTTAAAAGTGCAACCCTCAGCAGGAATTTCTGCGGCGATTACACAAGGTTGTTGTTCATAACAACGGTTGTTCATGTCTTTGTTCCTTGGTCGTGGCGCCAGTTGTTTGCGCCCAGGGACTTCAGGCAAAGGACAAGACAGGATCCAGTGATCCATACGTCACCGTTCAGGTGGGCAAGACCAAGAAGAGAACCAAGACCATCTATGGCAACCTCAACCCGGTCTGGGAGGAGAAGTACCACTTGTATGTCACTAAAACTCGTTGTTTATGAAGTTATTTCTGACTTATTACAGGGAAGTTTGAACTCTAAAAAAGTTCTTTATTTTATATATTGTATGTTTATTTTCTCCGCTAGCGAGTGCCACAATTCCTCGGATCGAATTAAAGTGCGTGTGTGGGACGAGGATGATGACATAAAGTCAAGGGTGAAGCAGCGCCTGAAGAGGGAGTCCGATGATTTCCTGGGCCAGAGTATAATCGAAGTGCGAACGCTGAGCGGAGAAATGGACGTGTGGTACAACCTGGGTCAGTACGCTGCCTCATCATGGACTTTCACCAAGACATTTACTGTTGGTACTTGATGGAACTGGATGGTAAAACATAGAAAAACTCAAAAGAGAAACTGCTCCACCTTTCTTGGTTGTTTACAGAGGATGACTAGCACACAGGTACTGAATATTGTACAAGCTACTTCTTCATTTAACCTGTCTGCTTCTGAAGAAGTGTTCGTCTTAACCTCATCAGCCATAGAGAGTAGAGAGGACCCCGAGGCCTTACAAGAAGCATGACAATACGTGCTGCCCCTCTAAACCAGCTAAAGGAAAAGGAAAAGTTCTACTCCCCCGAGCTTGAAGACGAGCCATGAATATAGTCAAGATGGTAATACGCAGGGGCTGATTTAATGGGTCCCTTGTGCTATTTAGTCAGACTACAGACACAGGTTGTATTCGTTAGCATTGTCTTCAGCGACCTTTGAACCACCACGAACGCTCACATTATGACCGCTGTCCGTTAGAAGCACTACACCCTCTCTCCGTGTGCTATGTGATAGCGAGGCGTTCACAGTCTTGTTTCCACTTTGATTGAAAGTGCTGGAAATAGCCCTGATAGATCTGCCTCTGGGACAGCGCTGAATATGAATGCCTAATAAATCGGTCACAGTTTCATGTCAGCTGGGAGACACGCAGTGCTTGATTTTAATATCCCTCTGTTAATTGCATCAACAAAACATTCCAATAGAATGATCACTCGAGTAATGCGTGCAAGAATGCCATCTTTATGTTCCCGCGCCTGCCTCTCTTCCTCCTCCCGATGTGTGATTATCAAGAAGCTGCACTCCAATCGACTCTCTTCCCCCCAGCGACACGTATAAATTACACTTAATGATGCGCCTGTCAGGGCCAAATAGCAGGGGCGCCACACGGGCGCACATCCACGCAGCCCCCCTGCCATCGTCTCCCCCACTATCAGCCGGAGCACTTGTATTAGAGTCCCAGGCTCTGCGCTACCACTGTAACAGCCTGTAATTAGCGCCACGTTAACAGCGCCGGCTGCCGCGGCCTCCTGTGGCCCTCCAGTGTCACCGATGGGTATCATCAGACAGGAGACAGGAAGCGGTGTATTGGCGTGACGCGTCTTTGTGTTTGATTACAGAGAAAAGGACGGACAAGTCGGCCGTGTCGGGGGCCATTCGCCTCCAAATCAACGTGGAGATCAAAGGAGAGGAGAAGGTGGCTCCGTATCACGTGCAGTACACCTGCCTGCACGAGGTATTTGTTGGGGCGTTGGAGCAATGGTCTAAACACACTGGATGTGTATAAAGGCGAAAGTAAAGTAACCTCATGTCATCAGCCTCTGCGTCTGTGTCGGTGATTTAGATGGCATTCAGATCACAAAGATACGCTTGTAACGCAGACATAATCCCGCCTCTACCCTGAAAAGGAAATGGCACAACTTTCCGTGATAAATTTTGCACTAAAGCCACCCAAATTACCTGTGTCTGTGGCAGAACCTGTTCCACCACTCGACTGACATGCTGGGCCAAGGCGTGGTGAAGATCCCAGAGGCCCGCGGGGATGATGCCTGGAAGGTGTACTACGACGACGTGGCCCAGGACATCGTGGACGAGTTTGCCATGCGCTACGGGATCGAGTCCATCTACCAGGCGATGACGTGAGTCAGAGTCTCATATGCTGTGTCAAAAAAAAAAACGTCGGAAACTTTTCTGTGTGACGGCGAGATGTCTTTGTGAAGTTTGACTGAGCGTGAGCGTCTGTAACAAGCTCTGCCCCCCCCCTGTTCCTCCAGGCACTTTGCCTGTCTGTCGTCTAAGTACATGTGTCCCGGGGTTCCCGCCGTGATGAGCACCCTGCTGGCCAACATCAATGCCTTCTACGCCCACACCACCGCCTCCACCAATGTGTCCGCCTCCGACCGCTTCTCTGCTTCCAATTTTGGGGTTTGTATTATTTTAGGATTACGCTCTCTCTCACTCACTCACTCACTCACACACACACAATGTGTCTCTGTGTTTGTGTCTCTCGGCCTTTGTCCTCGCATTCTTTTTCTGTACAAATCTTTTTGCTTCCACTTCCTGTTCTCACTATTTTTCTTTTTACCCACACAGAAAGAACGCTTTGTCAAGCTTTTAGACCAGCTGCACAACTCCCTGCGCATCGACCTCTCGACCTACAGGGTAAAATTAGGATTGTATTCAATAAATACAATGTCGGTCTCAAAAGTCCTATTCCTCTGATAAGTATATCGTTATCTATGTTGAAAAATGTACCTCTGTGGTCTCCCATTTTCTTCCCTATAAATCCTCGTACTAGTTATTGTGTGGTGTAAGTTAAGCAAAAGCTTCCATAGGAATATATTATATATATAAATATTGTATTACATTTTGTCATTCACTTTTGAAATCGTTATAATTTAATTACCCTAATTTAATTTCACAGAATGTCTGTGCCATCATATATATATATATGAGAATTTCTTCTGTATTTAAGTGGATATTCTCCTCCGTAGAATCACTTTCCCGCCAGCAACAAGGATCGGCTGCAGGATTTGAAATCCACCGTGGACCTCCTGACCAGCATCACTTTCTTCAGAATGAAGGTAGTTTACAGATTTTCATCTATCTTAATTTTCTTTTTTCTGCTGCAGGATCTCAGCACATGGTTATCAGATGATTTCTAAATGGGACACTTTGCCTCCTGTAGATGCACAGTGGTGGTCAGGTGAGTGTAAATAACAACCTTACTATCTTGCATGTGGCGAGCAGGTCCAGGAGCTGCAGTCTCCGCCGAGAGCCAGCCAAGTGGTAAAGGACTGTGTCAAGGCCTGCCTCAATTCTACGTACGACTACATCTTCAACAACTGCCACGAGCTGTACAGCAGACAGTACCAGCCCATCGACGCGGTAAGTCACGGGCTCGTGGTACAGCGACCCCCCCACACCCGGTGCCTCTGTAAGAGGGAGTGACCCGTGTTATTGTCTCATCCAGAACAAGGAGGAGCTCCCTTTGGAGGAGCAGGGTCCGAGTACCAAGAACTTGGACTTCTGGCCCAAACTCATCATGCTCATCGTCTCCATCATCGAAGAGGACAGGAACTCCTACACACCTGTACTCAACCAGTAAGTGATGAGGATGCACTTCAAATGATACGGAATACCGTGAAAGAGTTTCCCTGCTTCATATTCCCGCTGCATTGACAGGAGGAGATTTCTTTGGAGGCTCGGTTCCAAATGCTCACAACACTAAAACATTTTTTTTATTGTCAGGTTCCCCCAAGAGCTGAACGTAGGGAAGGTGTCAGCGGAGGTCATGTGGACATTGTTCGCTCAGGACATGAAGTACGCAATGGAAGGTAAATCGCACCCGTTGAGCCACATCCATCGGCAATTTGACAACACAGTAGGAGCGCGCCAATGAAACTACGACAAAAAACGGCAACAAGCCTTTTTTTGTTTCATGTGCAAGAGGAGATGATTATGTAGTTTGAAGAAGTATTTTGGTTTTGCCGGCTTGAATTGGGATCGTAAATGGGGTGTAGTTGTATAGCACTTTTCTAGCCTTGTGACAACTCAAAGCACTTTACATGTCATCATTCACCCATTCACACCCCGATGGCACAGCCTTAGGGGGCAATCTGGGGTTAAGTGCCTTGCCCAAGGACACGTCGATATGGTTTAGCAGAGAAATGGATTGAATCGCTACTCTACCAGTGAGCCACAGTTGTGTTTTTTAGAGGTTGGAAGGAAAGGACAAGTGAGGAGAAGAAAAGCTCTGGTAAAACTGGTAAGGAGAAAGAGAACAGTTGCCGGGTAGAAACTGTACGGGGGAAGTTTGCGGATGACACCACCCTCATTGGACTGATCTCTGGTGGGGATGAGTCCGCCTACAGGTGGGAGTCTGACCATCTGGTGTCATGGTGCAGCCAGAACAACCTGGAGCTCAACGCTCTAAAGACAGTGGAGATGGTTGTGGATTTCAGGACGAACAGAGCCCCACCTTCCCCCATTACCCTGTGTGACTCCCCGTCACTATTGTGGATTCCTTCCGTTTCCTGGGCTCCATCATCACCCAGGACCTCAAGTGGGAGCTGAACATCAGCTCCATCACCAAGAAGGCTCAGCAGAGGTTGTTCTTCCTGAGGCAGCTGAAGAAATTCAACCTTCTACACGGCCATCATCAAGTCCATCCTCTGCTCCTCCATCACCGCCTGGTACGCTGCAGCCACAGCCAAGGACAAGGGCAGGCTGCAGCGTGTCATCCGCTCTGCAGAGAGGGTGATCGGCTGAAATCTGTTCGCTTTTAGGACCCTGAAGCGAGCTAAAAAGATCGTAGCCAACCCCTTTCACCCCGGACAAAAACTGTGTGTTCCTCCCATCTGGCTGGAGGCTGAAGCCCGTCAAGACTAAGACCTCCCGCCACACGAACAGTTTCTGGTCCTCTGGGGGGGTCTTGAAATGACGGGCACGAAGCAGTCGGGTCCATAGTAAATGGTTTTATTGATATTGTTCCACACACAACAACACCGGCTCCAGCCTCCTCGCCTCGCTCCCCCGCTGTCGCCGGATCTCTCATACTTAACAGGAGCGTACTTGATTGCTGATTCACATCAGCTGAGGCAAATTGCCTCCCCCGGCACCGTTCCCTGAACCACTCCCTTCTCAGTCCCCCCCTGCAGCTGAGCCAAAACCACGCCCGCCACCAAAATATCTCTTAAACATATCCACAGCACTGAGGCAGGGAACCCAATCCGCACGAAGAGAAGAGATGGAATGAGCCCGGAGAGATTTTGCTCCCAAAGCACTTCCAAGGAATACTTAAGGAATAATTTAAGCGCAGAAGTAGTTTCTTACTGGGTACTAAAAATATACTTAAGTGCCTCGTTGGAGTTGAGCTGATTGTTACTATCAGTACGCTGCAGTCCGGACCAGGTCAAGACCGAATCCAGACCAGGGATAAGAATCTAAAAACAATATTGATCAGTCTTCCAACGTTTCCACTTCAGGACCACCTTTTATATGCCCATATTTATTAGATTGGATTATTGTGGTACATTTTGCATGTATGCAGGAAGTAGGAGTTCTGCACCACATTCTAAAACCAGCAGCAAGTTTAAACCTGGAGTTTGACCTGGAACATGTAATGAAGCAGTGTTTCCTGCTTCCTTACAAGTACATGGTCCACGGTGGGAAACAGGATTTGCTCTGTTTTGTGTATTAGCAAATGCATTAGTCCCATTGGTAATTGTTAAGTCAAAGAATGTGAACTGTAAAGTGAAGATTACAGTTGCATTCTCGCAATTTAGCCTCGCACAAGTATTACGACCCGTCCACAGTCATGGTCCAAACCCCCTCGATTGCTGCCCATCAAATGCAACGTGGTGGCGTGACTTTCTCCCACCCTCTGGGTCAACCTCCTCACAGCCTGCACATGTCTGTCTTTTGTGTGTGCAGAGCACGAGAAGCTGAGGCTGTGCAAGAGCACCGACTACATGAACCTGCATTTCAAAGTCAAGTGGCTCAGCAATGAATACGTCAAGGAGCTGCCAAATTTCAAGGGTGTCGTTCCAGACTACCCGTCGTAAGTGCTGCTGACTCATTCGCTCGTAGGCAGGGGGAAATATTTCATGAATTTCCCCGAAACATGTTTTTTTGTTAACAAATAAGATATCCTAACGTTACAATATAAACCGATTAAATAAAAAAAACAAATGCTTTTTCCCCCTTGCAGATGGTTCTTGCAGTTTGTGCTGCAGTGGTTGGAGGAGAATGAAGATGTATCCATGGAGTTTATGCATGGAGCCCTCGAAAGAGACAAAAAAGATGGAGTAAGAGAATAAACATGTCCCCTCTATGTTGAAGGAGGTGGATTACAAAAAGGTTCTTTGTAGAACCCCTTGACTGAATTCTAGATGCGACCAAAGGTTCCAGATGAAATCCTTGGAATTTAAACAACCTCCTGTAAGGATTCAATGAAATGCCTCACAAATGAAATTGTGGGTTCTAGATGAATCCCTTGGAGTATAAATGGGTTCTCAGTAGAACCCCTAAGTGGGGGCTCTTGATAGTGTCCTAAAGGTGGAAAGCCTCTGGATAGAACCTGTGTAGACAGTTGTGGGTGAAACTATTTCCGCAAAGAGTTGGTTTCTGTAGATCCTCTCACGGGGGTTCGAGAGGGTACTGTGGGTACTGTGTGCTGAGTCGTGGGTACAACGCTGTGAAAGTCTCATGAGTTGTGTGTCCCTCTTGTTTCAGTTCCAGCAGACGTCTGAGCACGCTCTGTTCTCCTGCTCTGTTGTGGACATCTTCACGCAGCTCAACCAGAGCTTTGAGATCATCAAGAAGCTGGAATGCCCCGACCCCAACGTCATGGCTCAGTACAGTCGCCGCTTCTCCAAGGTACACCCACGAGGCTGCATGGGCGTGACTAAGAATCTCACAGACCAGTTAGGCAGGAGCCACACCACACGGCTTGTGGATTCCGTCCACAAGTTTACATTGTTGATAATGAGAAGTAGAACGATAATATTAGAAGATATGTGGTGAATTACAAAACCCCATTGTCTGGCCTCAGGACTCCATTTTCTATAAATGGAATTTGAAATTTCCTCATTAAAAATTATTGTTTGTTTGGACATAACACTCCCCGGGAGGAGGGATTTGCTTTCCTACATGTCGGAGAATACACTACAGAACATTTAGCGATATTTGTAATAACGTAGTTGGGAGAGATCCTACTCTGTAGTCATCTGGGAAAGGTTTTATGATTAATAAATTGTTTTAATGCATTTCTTCGTCTTCGCCTCCAGACTATTACCAAAGTTCTCCTGCAGTACAGCGCCATACTGACCAAGAGTTTTCCTACCTATATCGACAAGGAGAGGATTGTAAGTGCTCAAATAGTTACCATCATTCTCTGATTTAAGTCCCTGTCATGGTGTACTCATTTACTCACATTTCCATATTGATGTTAGTTTTTACACTTAATAGACCCTCCAGCGGCTTCACCTTTACACAAACAAACTTATTTTCGAATTACATTAGTGTTTCCAAAACGTAATAATTCCGTAAATAAAAATTGAATTAATTCTTACACGGCAGTGATTGCATTACTTGTGAAGTGAGGGGCTCCTTGTGTGTAATATCTCTGTGTATTCTTTGTCTGTCTCTGCCCGGGTCCTCTGGCAGCCGTGTGTCCTGTTGAACAATGTGCAGCAGTTAAGAATCCAGCTGGAGAAGATGTTTGAATCGATGGGTGCCAAACAGGTGAGACAACCTGCATTTATTGAGCGTCATGGATGACTGTACATATTTGAAACTATGAATCTCTTATTGGCTCCAAGAAAAAAGATGAACTGACCTCCACTAAGCCTGACTGGTCCACTAAGCCTTTGTCATAGAAGCAGGATTAGTGTGTCTTTGTATTTGTGTCTCTGGTGTATCAGGTTGCAACAGAAGAAGCGCTGGTACGTGCAGTAGTGCTTCTTGAGACCATGTGATGTAGACTCCTGGTAGTGTGGAAGGGTTCTCTGAAGAATCCCTGGGTGGGTTCTAGTTTGGAATAGAAACCTTGGAATAGAAAAAGGTTCTCAATTGAACGCCTCGAGATGAATCCCTATTTTCAGTATGTAGCGCTTTATTGTTTATTATTCTTTGTAGCTGTGGTCTATATTATTAGTTTTAGTATTGAATGATTGGTTGGTGGCTGGATTTTAGAGGTTGGATGCTGTAGCTAAAGTTTCAACCCATGAATTCCCTCTACAATTCAAGCAAAATGAAGAGGAGGAAGAAGAAGAGGAGGAGGGAAATATGGGGGAGGTATGTTTCCGCCATGGTCTGAGCAGGCCAGATATCTGTCCATACTGTAGAAGCACATCTTTTGGATGTTTTATCAGTTTGATGGTGTGTTTATTCTCTCCCTCTGCGGTGGCTTGGACAGCCGGTCATAGCTGACGATGAGGAGGTGAATGCTCTGGTTGGTGCTGTGCGTGGTAGATTAGATCCACTAACAGTAGGATAGTAGATCCACAATGTCCATGGTGCTGCTAGCCATCCTTCATTTATCCTTCTCCTTTGTTGGATTCGGCTTCTCTCTAATTTAATAGAGAGTTCTAGAGAGAGCAATGTGGATGAACAAAGTGAATCATCGCGGCGTCGGTAGCCCGTCAAACTGACCTTGTCGTCTTTTGCAGATGACACCTATAGGAAAAGTAGATACACAGAAAGTAGTTTCCTCTGGAGCTCTGGCTAGCTGAGGCAGAGTATCCATGCTCCCATCTCTATAGCTTATAGCCCACTGATGTCATACTCCTCCACACGTCCTCACATCTGTGAGGAAGGGCCGTTTTCTTGATTTTTGACATGATACCTCCGCTGTGGCTGAACACTCGAGCTGCATTTCAGTGGTCCATATCCCTTCAGTCATCTGCAGTTCCAACCGTGAACATAGCCCACACCAATCTCTTTACAGAGAAACACCTACCTGGGAGCATGGGGGGCATCTCTCCTCGTGTAGCGAGCGTATAACGCCAGGTTCAAACTTAATTCTCTGCAAATATGTGTTTACCGCTTTACCCAAGGAGGGCTTATGAACTTAAATGTGTTTTTTGGGGGGAGTGCAAAGTCACATTCATGTTTTTTCCTCTTTTCTAGCACAACAATAGAATGCTAGCATGGCAGGCAAGTCCACTGTAAATGCAAACATGTTGTTTGAAGCATGCTTGCATCTACTCAAATGTCCCATCTACCCAAAAATAATATTGCATCACTCATGGAATATTTCATTTTTAAAAGAACGGTGATGAAGTGACCTCAAACGTTGTTGAATATGGTCGTGATATTTTGTGGCAGTGAGAATAAACAATTTTTGTTGTCTTTTCGCTGCTGTGCCTAGTTTGAGGAGAGTGAAGAAGAGGAGGAGGAACATGTAGGGGAAGATGTTGAGAGAAATGAGGTTGAGGTTTGTTGCAGGAGTCCCAAGTCCCTCTAGTGTGCCCTGTTGTTCCCACTAACAGCAGCCTGTGAGTGACACTCGGCCCTGCTGTGGTTGTCATGGTTACTTGTGTTTCGAACACGTCATCCGTGGTCCTCTCCATCTTTTTTCACCTCTTCCTGTTGCGTTTTCCTTCCTTATAACTGTCACTCACTTTCCCCTGAAGCAAAAGGTCAATTCTGAACATCGTTGCTTTGTTTTCTCTTCTTTCATTTATGTTCTGTTTGTTTGTTTTGTTTGTTTTAGACCGACGAGGAGAAGGTGGGTGTATTGTTGCTTTCCGATGTGAAAAGACTGCAATATTTGTTTCTTTCAGTTTAAATTTCACGTGGCTTAAAGATGCAACAGAAGATACATATTTTTTATTTATCAAACCCCCCAACATTCCCATGCAAAGATGGATGAATCCGTGAAGAATGTAGGCCACACGGACAGCAGCATCTGCTGCCTCAGCACTTTCTGACTGAGAAACCATTGATAGAGGTCGTTGGCTGTCCTGTCAGAGGCTGAAGGTGCCTTCGAGGGAAGGAAGTTGAGTTCAGGCGTAGACTCATGAGTATTAATACCCACGTGCCTGCATGTGCAAATATACTCCCGGGGCCAAACAAAAACGGCACACGACAAACTGCCATTCCTCCCCTAAGACCTTCGCTTTGTGCCGCACAGCGGAACCCTCCGTCTCTCCTCGCTAATGACCCCCCCCCTGCCACCCCGAGGGAATCATAAATCAGAAGGCCATTGGATCTTTAGCATAATGATGCACAGCCTAGCTGAGCCTTTCCATGCTATGCTGGTTTAGATGCAGTCCGGTACACTGGAGGTATTCCACTTCCTCCCACTGGTCCCATCGCCCTGTGCTCATGACATTTATAAAACGCACATCTCCTGCAATATTAAACTCTTATTGTTTCATTTTGGTTTTGCTCCTACAAAAGTTGGAGGCCGCTGATAAAAAGGTGGGTCTGCTCGAATGTGTGCGTTGCGTTTTTGTTGTACTTTTCACGACCTGCGATCATGTTGGTTTCTGCTCGGTCGATGAGCAGGAAATCTGCTAATCTTCACCATTAAAGGATCTTATTTGACGAGGAGCATCAATTAGTTTTTGCTTTGATAAATGTGATAAATAAAAGATCCGGAGCATTTCTGTTGCCTGTCACCATGGTAATGGCTGAGGTGTACGGCTGATGAATTGCTCGTCTTCCAGTTTTAAACTTTTTATTTCTTTTGTGCTCAATGCAAAAGTTGGAGCCTGCTGGTAAAAAGGTGGGTTTGTCTGTTTTGTGTATTATTTGTATATGGTGTTTGTGATGGACATGTCTGTGCCACAGGAGGGATTACAAGCCTGCCTCTCTCATCCCATCGGTATCCTCGGTTTGATTGGGTATTGAAGCTGTTAAAAATCTTGACTTCTCGCTGCCACTCGTAGCTTCTAGCTTTTAAGTTGAACTGCAGCTTTAGAGTTAATTTGTGGGAAAATACGAAATGAAAAACCTTTTAATGAATTAACAAGCACCATGTCCTCCATGGTATGCTTACTTTCCCTGCATTTTCAAGTCTGCCATGGATTTGTCTTTCTATGCATGACAGGAGCTCACATTCTAACAAAATGTGCTGCTTGGATCCTGTGCTCGTGTCTCTGCAGATGGACCCAGAGGCCAGTGACTTGCTGAACGACCTGCAGGTGAAGCTGAACAACGTGCTGGACGAGCTCAGCAGGACCTTCGGGAACAGGTAGCCCAATCCCGACTGGCGGACACCTCCGGTTTGATACCCGTGCGCCCGCTGGTTCGGATTAATCACTTATTTTTCTTTTTGTAGTTTCCAGAACCGCATCAACGACTGCATGCGACAGATGGCGTCGCTCCTGTACCAGATCAAAGGGCCACTCAATGACAACAACAAGAACCAGGTGGACGCCGACTCCGATAACATGCTGCGGCCACTGATGGATTTCCTGGATGGAAAGTGAGTGGATAGAGATGTTCATTTATTTTTGTCCTTTCTTTCTTCTTCTGTGTCCTAAAATCATCGGGTTCAAATCCCCAGCTTCCATTTTTTTGCCACTGACCTGTTTGTGGGTTCGCCGCAGGCTCACACTGTTCGCCACCGCGTGCGAGAAGACTGTATTGAAGCGCGTGCTCAAGGAGCTGTGGAGGATCGTGATGGGCAGCCTCGAAAAGACCATCGTTCTGCCACAGGGCAACGACACCTTTGTAAGCTCTGCGAGGCTTGTTGCTAATCTGGCTCAAAAAGTGGATGAGGAGCAGTAAACTGAATTTCCTTGATATCTTCCTGCAGGGAGCACAGATTCTCTCAGCTGCGAAGGAACTGGGCCAGCTCTCCAAACTCAAGGTATCATAATGTCGTTGTGTGTTGGGTCCCCCTGGCGTTGTACATATTCGCTCATCTATGGTTGTGGCAACTGTGTGCAGGATCACATGGCAGGGGAGGCTAAGAGCCTGTCTCCCAGGCAATGTGCTGTCATGGACGTGGCACTGGACACTATCAAGGTCAGTTTATACCGCCGGCTTAGGTTTCATCAGGATGCTGGGTAGATGGGTCACATTAGCCTCATCAATTATTCACCCATCAATGGAGGACCCTGAGCGGTCGCGCGGGTGGCTCGTGACCACACGTGGTCTGATTGACAGGCCGGGGGATAGGAAGAGGTCAAAGGTGGATGAAATGAGGGCTTTGGACAAATGTTGTAAAACCCAACCTGCAGTTTTGATTTCACATGGCTCACCACCATTTTGCAATACCGTATTACTCGAACTTCATTTTTACAATAGCTAAATCCAAGATTTGCAACATTTCTGTGGCCTGTCAAGTTTTTACAGCTGACAGCCTAATGGTACGTTCACACCGAACGCATCGCCAGCGTTTTGCGCCACAGGCTTACATACAAAGTCTATGCACAGACGCGGCAAAGTCGAAAGTTGAAATATTCCATCTTTGGCGACAAAACGCAGTGACGCTACAGCGCAATAGCCTATCAGCGGCAAGATGCTCCCCGTCGTCATTGACGACCTGCAGAAAGTGCAGACAGCGGTATCCCAAGCTGTACATCCTCATACCTTTATTGCGACCGGTCTGGGAAAGATCTCGTACTTTTAACAAACAGCATACAACCATATGTGCATTTTTACAGCATCCCATCACTGCACTGAATATAGTACAATAAAGTGTGGGGTAATTGTATTGTTAAACGACACACTGATGAATACTAAATATTAAGTAACATAAAGGACATTTGCTCAATGGTAACGTGTGTGTAGCTCTTAAAAGAGCCGTTTGGTTGTGCTTGAGCATACGATGTCTCTCCATGGGACAGTTCTATCGGCATGGAAGCATGATGTGAAGGCGGTGAAGTCCGGTGCCCGATCCGAGCCAACGCGGTCAAACGAGCTAACGGCTAGCACCATGTACCGCTGGAAGCGGCAGTCATCCAGACAGTTTTTGTAGTCGGTGAAATTCACTGAGCTGTCTGCGCCTACAGATGCTTTAGTACAAAAACACGACTCTGTTTGGTGGTCTGACGTGAGTAGAACTTCCACAACAAGTACAGAGTCACGGTTGATGTAAGGGAAAAACAACGGCGGAAACTGTTTCAGGGCGAGAAACCACGCCCCCTCTCAGTCGCGTCGGGCGGGAATACGTGATACATGCAAACTAACCACAAATGTACAACGGTGTCCTGCGAGTTCTGCAGCGTGTTTAGAGCGTTTGAGGTGTTCGGTGTGAATGTAGCATAACAGTGCTTACTCATAGCATCAGTGTTAAAGGGACTTTATTCTCTACTCAGGTAAACATTACTTCACAACGACTTTACATAGCTAATAGTGGTTTGCTGATAGATTAAAGCTATCAATAACGCACCTTGAAAAAGAAACACACAAAGTAAACCCCCAGTTGTTCCACCACAGCAATACTTCCACGCGGGAGGAAACGGGCTTAAGAAGGCGTTCCTGGAGAAGAGCCCTGAGTTGTCGTCGCTACGCCACGCCCTGTCTCTCTACACCCAGAGCACGGACACACTCATCCAGACCTTTGTGACCACCCAGCATGCACAAGGTAGGTCAAACCACCACCACCTGACACACCTAAAAGTGAACTTCCCCAGTCGACCACCGGAGGGGAGTATGTGTGCATGACAAACAAAGGCTGAACATCCCTGCTCTCGGGTTTTGCTCGCATGGTTTGGCTGGATGTTTCTTTGACGCGTCCTCAATGTGTTGTCTTTGTCTCCCATGATGCCTGTCAGTGCACGGCGGGAAGGGCATGAGGCTAACTCAAAGTGAGAAAATACAGCCCAGCAAGGGTAAGTTTCAACCGGAGTCCTCTCTTTGCACACTTTCACTTTTATTCACCCGGAGCTCATGACTGCATTATAAGTCAAAGTTTCTCATGACTGCATTATAAGTCAAAGCGTGTCGCATTGGAAGCTCATGGATGCTTGGCGGGGCGGGGGGGGGGGCTGCGTTTTATCCAGGTCCGGCCGTGGACAAGCCGATCGGCGAGGTGTCCGTCCAGATCGAGCTGCACACTCATCCCGGGAAAGGGGAACGCAAAGTCGCCGTCAAAGGTCCGCTGGAGTTTACTCATAACAATCTGTCTTTTTATGTATTTCTGTATTATCTGATTGCATCGCATGCGCCCATTTAGTCATTGGAGCCAACGACTTGAAGTGGCAGACGTCAGGCATGTTCCGGCCCTTCGTGGAGGTCACCATGATCGGGCCTCACCTCAGCGCCAAGAAGCGGAAATTCCAGACCAAGTCGAAGAACAATACCTGGTTTCCTAAGTACAACGAGAGCTTCCAGTTGTAAGTGCTTCTGGTTTACTCCTCCATGCGTATAGAAGACGTCTGCCCTCTTTCATCTTCACTTCATGTTTGTGTCGCGGACAACAGCAGCTACGTCACTTCCACAATTTAACGGGTTTTCAACCAGTTATACTGCAAATTCTATGTTTCTATGCCCCTCCCCCAGCGCCCTTGGTAACCAGGACGGCTTTGAGTGCTACGAGCTGCAGGTCTGCGTCAAGGACTACTGCTTCGGCCGGGCTGACCGCGTGGTAGGCGTGGCCGTGGTGCAGCTGAGGGACGTCGCGGGGAAGGGCACCTGCGCTTGCTGGTGCCCGCTGGGCCAGCGCATCCACATGGACGACACAGGCCTCACGGCCATGCGCATCCTGTCGCAGCGCTCCAGCGACGACGTGGCAAAGGAGTTCGTGAGGCTGAAGTCAGAGACTCGCTCAGCCGAGGAGGGCAGATGAGGGGAGCTGGAGGGAGGAGGGGTTGCGGGGGGGTAATAGACAGGAAGGACTCACAATAAGACAAGGGATGTCATGTGACAGCGTCTTTTTACCGAAGATGGCCAGCTGGACTCTTTTCTACGGACCTTTTTGTGTCTTAGCGGCGCCGAATCGCTTCTAACCTTCACACTCCGGACATGTCTGGACAACCCCCCCACCCAAAACACACCTTATCTCGTGAGCTGCCTCTACAAGGCAGTGAGCGTTTACTCTCTTTATTCCCCGCCTCCTCCACGCCGGACCAATTACTTGCAGCACTTCACTAGTGTTGTTGTTTTTGTTTTTTTGCAATAACCCCCCCCATACACACACATACACACACACACACACACACACACACAACCGTGACCGTGGGTTTTTATGCCTTACTAGAAATGAATGTGTGATGTAAAGAAAACGTTCTGTAGTTTGGATTCTAAAATAATTTAGTACGGAGCATCTCCTTCCTCCCAGGTGATGAAATATCGTTCATATCTGCTTTCACAAGAGGTGTCCCAAGAGAAGGGACTCGAACTCTCACCCCTTACTTCAAAGGTTTGGTTAAATGTGTGCCTTGCCATGTTGAGTATGGGACCCGTCCGTGGTCATGTGACGTCAGCATGTGATCCCGTTTATAAGCTCCACTAGCAGCTCCAATGTAACCAAGACGGTGCAGCCGTTTTTATTTATTCATTTTAATACATATTTATTTTTTCCGTGCTTTTTTCAAAGGCGTCATCCACCTGCCAGGTTGGTGTGATTCAAGCTGTTTGTTCAACCACAAAGCGCAGACAGTCACATTCAAAGTGATGGTGGAGACGACAGCGATAGTTGTATTTATAGAAATGTATTTTCAACTTTCAGGTGATTGTTTTCTTCCAAAAGAACTAATAAATTATATCTGAACATGTAGATTAACTTTGGTTTACATGACTGCTCAGTCTATGAGTGGCCTTATTTACATTACATTTCCTTGTTTTTCCTCTTGGCTCTGCAATGAGGACATGGCCAGTTGTTGTCCTTTTGTTTGTTTTTTGCCCATAATGACGTCCAATATGTGATGTTCTTTATCATTTTGTAACTTTTTATCTTTGACATTGCCAAAAAAGTTGCAACTGTATTTTGTGTTGTTTGTGTTCGCTTCCTGTGAATCCCCCGTGTCCGTCGTGATATACAGTGAGATGTGTCACGTTTAACGGCGGATGGGTATTGCTGTGATATCAGAACCTGTGTTTGTGTGTGTACGTGTACATCTTCCTGTAACAAAGGGGAGAGGTCTGTGAATACAGACGTCTCATTCTTTGATTAACACGTTCCTTGTGCCAAGCTACAAATGTTCACTTTATTCTTTATTTCTATCTTTTCTAAATGTGTTAACACTTGAACTGCCACCGAATCACTGCCATAGTTAACACTACCAGTGTAACTGCATTTGTGTTTTTTTTCTCTGTATTGAAATGTTGTCACCATGTGAGCATTCTCATTCATGAATTTTGTATAAAGTATCTATAAACGTATTCACCTGTTTATTCTCAGTACAGTATGACATTCACTGCTGATTGCTCAGTTATTTTCCACCTGACAGAAACCCAAAGCTGAACCACACACGGTCTCAGCCAATCAGCAGAGGGTATTGTTGGAAACCTTTAAATTCTCATTTGAATCTTTATTTTAAGAGCACATTTCATGCAGGCTATGTATCTAACTAAGAAAGTATTAAATGAGGAGCACCTCATTTATAGCCTCATTGCTCACACTCATTCTGGTACCGGGGAGCCGAGTCTGTTGAATCCCTCTTTTCTGCATTGCTAAGCACACAAACCCAGCTCTTCACTTTAGTTTTAGGGTAAATCTCAGACCCACATTTTATAAACGGTGCTAAAATGTGGGTGAGCCTTTAAAATCAAATCACGGGAAACGTGAAAAATCCACCATCAGATTTGTTTTGCTACAGCCTGCAGATTGCTCTATATGTGTGTTTTTATGTGGTGCGTGCGTGCGTGCGTGCACGCACACACACACACACACACACACACACACACACACACTTACTAATTCAGCAAGCTGTTCATGTTGAGATCCCCTGGACGACAGACAGCCCTCCCTTTGTGTTCGAGTCAGGGTATTCAATTCCATTTCTGTCAGACAGGAAGTCACAATATTTGCTATGACCTTACTGAATCATTTCTTTTTGCGCGCTACCCTTTGAGGACAGATCTCTGTGAGAAGTCCCGGATCTGAGCACCTGTGCCAGGGTGACTGTGCTACCCGGCCGACTAGACAACGGCCTCGGCGCTGGTCCCTGATTGGCCGAGGCGGTGCACCTGTGCGTTGTGTTTTACAGCCCCCATTCCACTCCTCCAGGTCCAAAGATCGCTGCACTGTTTGCTCAAACCCTGAGCTGTTAGGCCTAATAGTTGGGGGGGGTGCTCTTCCTGCTTCAACCTGAAACCCTGTAGGCGCCTCTCTATCAGCACCACGCTGCTTCACCTGTCGCCCATCCTGCGCGTCTTTCATCCCGCCAGAGGCCCCTAGTACAGTCGCTGGTGCCTGGATGTCCAGACAGAGCACAGACTGTGAGGGGAGGTGGGCTGGATTTACTTCACCAAAGGAAGGATTGATATTTGTCTCTATTTTGTCCCCTTAAGGCCCTCGTGTGCAGGACTGGGGACAGGACGTCGCTTCTGCTTCTTGTTTTGAGGTATTTGGCTGTTTTTTCTGATTCAGTTTTTTTTGATTTGCAGATATTGAGGAAAGGGTGGGTGTACAGCACTTTAGCGAGGGGGGACCTTTTGTCATGTGAGACACATTCAGAAATCAGAGTCCTGGCCTCTTTGTTTTGTGAGTGAATAATGGCCGACCAGAACCCTCTCGGGTTTACTTGTCTGAACTGTCCACAAAGACGGATCAGGATACTGCTCAGCAGCAGAGTGTAATCATAACTAAATGCTGGATATGTAATCATCTTTTTCATGGACAACATACAATTCTATTATCTAGAGACAGAGCACAGGGGCAATGAGTTGCTGTATATTGAGGGTGAGGATCAGCCACCCATTTCTACTTCGATTTCCGCTTTATTCAGTTTTTATTGGTATGGATTTCACTGGAGACATTTTGCATTCTTCCAGTTCTGTTTTTGGTACTAATAAAATGATAATAATAGAAAAAAACTTCAGAAATTCAAAGAGCATTCTGAGCAAGTTGATCGGCCGTTTAGCTATCTTGATCTTTGTGGTGATTACTCGCCGTAGATTCCCGCCTGGTACAAAGGGTGAAGAAGGGAGTGCCTCCATGCATTTACAGCTCTGCAGGGCAGATAAACAAAGGGTCTAAAGGATGTTGCCTGACATCACATCACGCATGTCCCAATCAGTTTTTTATTTTTTATTGCTGTAACAGCAAACCATGGTCGGAACCTAGACCCTCAATAAATGAACTTGATCCCTTGTGCACTTCTGCGTGTTTCCTCCTTTCAGTTGCTCTCTTTTTCGCCTCAGCTTTGAAGAAATAGCTCTTCTGGCTTCACAGGCTATTAATCTCTGTAATTACTGAACAAAATGCTCTTTCTCTAGACTTAATACATGGACATGGTGAGCTGAAGATGGGGTCGGTAACATCGTACTTTGGCCCCTTGTGTGGGGAAGAGCAAAAGATAGGTGAGATGTTGTACATGAAACGTTCCTCAAAAGTCCTTGTTCTGGCATTGTGTGTGTAACACGCAGCGGACTAACGCTGCACTCAGTCATTCTCCTTCTGTTCTACTCTGTCCCAGAGGAGGAGAGACACTTTCGAGGGAATGACCGACCTTTCAACCTGTCTTACCACTATGCCGTAAGTATGGAAGGTCAGAATGATCCGTGGTCCTCCTCTGAGCACCGTTCATCTGTCCCCTCTGTATTTCTGCAGGACAACGCCATCACTACCTCCAAATACAGCGTATTCACCTTCCTGCCACTGAACCTCTTTGAGCAGTTCCGGAGGCTCGCCAACGCCTACTTCCTGTCCCTCATGCTCCTCCAGGTAGATATTACGATCCGTGATAAGTGTCCATGTGAGCTCTACATCACACAGGTGATGTTAGAGGGGATCACATGCATGCCTGCTAACTGACAGCGGCGGGGAGACGGGTGTCTTTGCAAAATCTTCATAAAATATATCTGGGGTAGGACTATGACCTTTGACCTAACGGTATTTTTCTTACAGAATATACTTGATGCACGTGTGAAAAGAGAATTATATTTGCAAGGTGCATGGTTTTTAAATGTGTGCGTTCCGTTCCATTGACAGCTCATCCCGCAGATCTCCTCTCTGTCCTGGTTCACCACGGCCGTCCCTCTCATCCTCGTGCTGTCCATAACAGCGGTGAAAGATGCCAGCGATGACATAGTAAGAAGGAAATCCATCTACTGGGACTTCTTTGAAACAAGGCGCCTCGTGGGGAATTCCGCTCAAAATATTCAGAAGTAATCCAAACATGCAAATGTAACCAATGTCTGTCTGTTTTGTCCCGTGTCCCAATGAGTAGAACAGGCACAGAAGTGACAAGCAGGTGAATAACCGCATGGTGAACGTCCTCATTGACGGAGAGTAAGTACTCCACTACGCAAATTCCACACTATTCACATCTTATACTTTATAAAAGTACAAATATTCAGCTGTGGCGGCACGGTGGTGTGGTGGTTTGCACCCGTGGTTTGCGTCGTCTCACAGCAAGAAGGTCCTGGGTTGGACTCCGCCCAGTGGCGTTTCTGTGTGGAGTGCATGTTCTCCCCGTGTCTGCGTGGGTTCTCTCTGGGTACTCCAGCTTCCTCCCACAGTCCAAAGACATGCGCTGGGGACCAGGTTGATTGGGGCCCATAGGTGTCTGAATGTGAGTGTGAATGGTTGTATGTCTCTGTGTTAGCCCTGCAATAGGCTGGTGACCAATCCAGGGTGGACCCCGTCTATCGCCTGAAGTTGGCTGGGATAGACTTCAGCCCCCCCAAGCGGTTTGCAGATGGATGGATGGAAATATACAGCTTTTTAAGCTTCTAGAGCTCATGTTTTGTATGTTGTTTTTTTGTAGCTTTCTGTAGTGTTGTGATCTCGTGGTGTGTTTTCATTTTTTCCGGCAGACTGAGGAGTGACAAATGGATGAATGTTCAGGTCGGAGACATAATCAAGCTGGAGAATAATCAGTTTGTCACAGTGAGTATGGCAATGCCGCAATAAAGATTGTTTTTTTAACAACACCTACACTTAGAAGCTTTCAGTGATAACAACAGGGCCCCTTAGCCCAAGACAATGAAGTTTGCACTTTCTGCTGTTCAATGCTGCCGCCTGATTACTCACCAGGACAAATACACAATCCGACATCACCCCCAAACTCACTTCACTGGCCCCCTGCAGCTTATAGTGCACACTTTAAAAGTCTCACTATATGTTCTCCAGCTGATGCGGCTGAAACAATTTGTCCCTATTTCTATGGCGTGCCCTCAGGTCAAACGTGATGAATTCATCCATCACACGCACTCACGTTGTGCTCTGCCTATTCTCCTCCGGCTTGCTGAGTCTGTGATTTTCTTGAGAAACCAGCTCAAAATGTACCTGGGTAAACCAACGCTGTTAACCCCATTTAGTCTGCTTATCTGGTTTGGTTCTTTCATGACCTCCTCCTAATGGCCCGTGTATGTCCACTTATCATTCATGTCCTTTCTTTAGTGAAGTACTCTTTGACAACTTTTGACGATCGCCATATGAATTCACTTTGCTTACTTTTGAAGGCGGACCTCATGCTGCTCTCCAGCAGTGAGCCTCTCAACCTGGTCTACGTGGAAACGGCTGAATTGGACGGGTGAGGTGTGCGCCTGTGCATGGCTAGCGGCTTATGTCTAACACATAGTCCTGGATCCCCCCCCCCACCCTCCTTCAGTCGGTCCCTTCTCATGTCCTTTTGGTGTCTCCCCCAGGGAAACCAATCTGAAGGTGAAACAGGCCCTGACCGTCACCGGAAAGATGGGGGACAGCATCCACGCACTGGCTGCCTTCAAGGGTGAAGAGGAGACATTTTACTTTCATTTGTTACTGAGTAGCCCAGCAGGATATTCAAATATCCAGTATGAATACTGCTTTCCGAGATGTCAGGATTATTTTCATTGAAATGCAACCTTTTGTGTTAGGAAACGTAGGTAAGAACAATTGCCATTAGCTAATGTTAGCAGTGCTCCGATATTTCTCTCGCTCTCAGGTGAAGTGCGGTGCGAGCCTCCCAACAACCGTCTGGACAAGTTCAGAGGAACGCTCTCCCTGGACGGACAAACCTACTCTTTGGACAACGACAAGGTGCTGCTCAGGGGATGCACTGTGAGGAACACCGACTGGTGCTTCGGTCTGGTCATCTTCGGAGGTAAAGAGCTGACCGGAATATTGTGCTAACAACAGAATGCTAGTGAGGGCCCCGGAAAACTCCACGGATGAAGTGTGGGGCATTTCATTCGAGTCTGCAGTGGCGCTGCAGAGGCGGTTCGGAGGGGGGATTATCTAAAAAAGGCCGACAATTACAAAGTCAGAAATCGGCACAAAATTAAAATACGGCATTGAAAAAGAATGAATGAAATTAGAATAATGACTAGTAATGGTTTGAGATTACTCTACTTTAGCTACGATCTGCCATTATTTGCCATCCACTGTTGGTAAATGACCAACCTGCATTCAATTAGCCTTTAATATACTAATGTTGGAACTTTTGAGTGATAAGAAATTGACGAATTGATTGAAGAGAGAAGAAAAACCTATTGAACCTAAACAAATCCAAAAGAACAAAAATAAATATTTTTAGGGCAGCTAAGAGCTGAATTTTCATGAATATTTAAAATGAGCTTAAAATACTCAAACTATCTGCAGTAATTGGCAACATGCCGCCATGCCCTTGTTAGCAAGTACAAGTTGTAGTTTTGTAGTTTACAACGTCAAAAATGTAAAATCATGATACCCGAAATAAAAATGCTATGTATTAAATGACAGATCAAGAGTATGTGATGCATGAGTTCCCCTTCAGCATGGCCTCTGCAAATGAGGCCATGCTCTCTATCCATCTGCTTGATCGTCACTGAATGGCTATTGACAAGTGATGGAATCTCTCCAGGTCCCGACACCAAGTTGATGCAGAACAGTGGAAAGACGACATTCAAACGGACCAGCATTGATCACCTGATGAACGTCCTGGTGTTGTGTGTGAGTGTCATGTGCCCACTGCCACACAAATACACCTGAGCTCACATGTGCAGAAGAATATACACAAGTACCAAAGTGTTTTCTAATGTACTCTCAATGTATTAAATATTCAGGCGTGTGATATCTCGACTCTATCAGATCTTTGGCTTCCTGGCATTTATGTGCACTGTTCTGGCCATCGGCAATGGAATCTGGGAGGTGAGGGAGGGCTCTGTGTTCACAATCTTCCTCCCTCGTGAGCAAGGGGTAAATGCCGCCCTCTCTTCCTTTCTTTCCTTCTGGTCCTACGTCATCGTCCTCAACACTGTGGTGCCCATTTCCCTTTACGTGAGGTGCGTTCCAGCAAAGAAATTAGAAAGCAACGTGAGGTCAGAGTCCTGGTGTCACGCTCTTTTCCCCCATGTGTGTCAATGTCAGTGTGGAGATCATCCGTCTTGGGAACAGCTTCTACATAGACTGGGACAGGAAGATGTATTACCCCAAAAACGACACGCCTGCCCAGGCGAGGACCACCACACTCAACGAGGAGCTGGGCCAGATCAAATACATCTTCAGCGACAAGACGGGCACCCTGACGCAGAACATCATGACTTTTAACAAGTGCTCCATCAATGGGAAAGCTTACGGTGAGCCTCTTCGCTTACAGACACAGTCTCGGTGAACGGACACACCGGCATTGTGATGAATAATTCACTTTGGAATGTATCTCTGCATTATTCAGGGGAGCTGTTTGACTTCTCCGGACAAAGGGTAGAAATAACAGAGGTGAGACAAGAATATATACATTGGATATATTGGGGATTTTGTGTCTTTAAAGTGTCAAGCCAACTATTTTGTCTGCTTCTTCCGCCCGGCAGAAAACTGAGAGAGTGGACTTCTCCTGGAACAAGCTGGCCGATCCAAAGTTCTCGTTTCATGACCACAGTCTGGGGGAAACGGTGAGAGGGGGAAACCTGGAGGCTCGGGCCTTCTTCCGCCTCCTCGCTCTGTGCCACACAGTCATGCCCGAGGAAAAGAAAGAGGGTGAGCGTCCTCCAGAACAGAGCAACCACACTGCGGACGTTCCGTGAGCAATCTGAATACAGCTCGGCCTTGAATTAAACAGATTTCATTGATGTTTTTTCTTGTCATGTAACAGAATTAAAGAAGTACCCAGCGACAGACAGCAATGACACACTTTTTCATCTCCCCTCCTCTTTTGCCTTTGTCTCCTGGCAGGCGAGCTCCACTATCAGGCTCAGTCTCCTGACGAGGGCGCTCTGGTGACGGCAGCCAGAAACTTCGGTTTTGTGTTCCGCTCGCGCACACCGGAGAGCATCACGGCCATGGAGATGGGCATAAAAGTCGTCTATGAACTGTTGGCCGTCCTTGACTTCAATAATGTACGCAAGAGGATGTCGGTCATAGGTGAGAGACAGCAGAGGTGCAATGTGGGGTTTCACTGTGTTGTTCATGCTTCTGTAGTCTAAGAGGGTTTAAGAGAGATGGAGAGAAGAGATTCAAGCCGTCATACAAAAATAGTTGTTGCCTTCATGGTTTACTTCTAGGTTACACCAATGCCGATACTACCTCAAATAGCTGTCATCTTGACCACGGGATCCATCTTTTAGATTAAATTGTTCTCACTTTCACTAGGCATACAGCTTATTAATTACACTAATAAACACTCGTTATCAGGTTGTTTCACTGTATTCATATCAGCAACGACAGAAGCCGTTGGATCGGTGCATCCCTCGCCACAATCACATGGTCAAAGTTACAATTTCTACAATCCCCATAGGTGCATTCAAGGGCGATAGGATAACTGAGATGGAGGCATCTTTTACTAGAAGGAGCATTGTTTGCATGGATTCATTTAAATCCGTGTCAGCCTGTCATTAAAGTGATCATGTGTGTCGCCTCACAACTTGCACCATGACTTCCAGTGCGTAGCCCCGAAGGCAAGCTGACTCTGTTCTGCAAAGGAGCTGACACCATCATCTATGAAAGGCTGCACCCGTCCTGCAACAAACTCAAGGAAGTGACCACGATACACCTCAACGTGAGTTCTCACAACGTTCCCACTGGAGTATAATAAAGCCAGAGTTTTGTCACTGAGTTTTCGATTTGTCCGACTGAAACAGGAGTATGCGGGAGACGGGCTCCGCACGCTGGTCCTGGCCTACAAGGACCTGGATGAGGACTACATGAATGACTGGAAACGGCGCCACCATGAGGCCAGCACCGCTATGGGGGATCGAGAGGAGAGGCTGGAGGAGCTTTATGAGGAGATAGAGAAAGACCTGATGGTTGGTCCAGCTGCTGAATACTGTTTGACCGACTCTGAATGAGCTGGTTGTCTTCTGGCTTTGTACTCGAGTTGTCTGCTCATTTGCAAAATGGATTTAATACACTTTTTATCCTCCTATACGATTGCGTTAAATCAAGATGAAACCCTGCCTCAGACCAACAAACATACCTCATATACCGATTTAACAGCAGATTAAGATTGGTTCACATTGGTTCATTTCAAATGATGTATTTATTCATGTTTACTTTCTGCCAGATGAAGACCATAAGCTTTGGAAATCAATCGTTTCCGACTGACTGTTTTTTAGCTGTTGGGAGCGACAGCTGTGGAGGACAAGCTGCAGGACGGCGTGCCACAGACCATAGAGCAGCTGGCTAAAGCTGACATCAAGATCTGGGTGTTAACTGGAGATAAACAGGGTTAGTGTCCCGTTCCAATCCCACATCCAGTAATTGTTTGTTCTCTCACTGTTGATGCCGTGCTTACTCAACAGTGTGCCTCGGTGTCTCCCGGTGTCTAGACTAACCGTGTAGGCTAACCAGAGGCCCAGAGAGCATTTGGCATGTTTGAGATATGGTTCCCATCACATTAACTTTTGAGTGTCTACGTTGTTTAAACAGAGACGGCGGAGAACATAGGCTATTCCTGCAACATGCTGAGAGAGGAGATGAAGGAGATCTTTGTTGTGGCTGCCAACACGGCCGAAGGAGTCAAAGAAGAGCTACAGTAAGTCATTCGAAATAACACACAATGTGCCTGCTGACAGGAAATCTTGAGGTTGTTTTATAACTTTATAACTGTTTTAAAATATTTAACATTACATGACAAAGGCATCTCAAGTAAATGTTTTTGACTCAACTTGATATACATTTGATGCTTGTTTTTGGAATAGTAACCGCTATGCCAAATGCTTCTCTGAATGACAGTGCCCCATTATAATTATACAGTTTACTATAACTGTATTTTAAACCACGTTTTAAACAAAGCTGTGCGTCTCTTTTCTAGCCGACGGCCATGTGACAGATTTTAGCTGTATGCTAATGCTAAAATTGGGCACATTGTGCAGAAGTCTTGTCTCCAACTGACTTTAAACGCTTGGAAGTCGTGGTGTAACGGACCGTCGCGTTTCGTGTGACAGCTGGCTAGCAGTTTCGCTAGCTAAGAGAACATTTTGAGGCGTTCTGGCTCTGTTCAGTTAAAGTCTTTAAATCATGACTTTTCATTTAAATTATTTTCCCTAACATTTAAATCTTGTGTTTTTCCGACAAAAGAAAAAACATGAATTACTATCACAATGTAAAAGGATCAAATTAAAAACTTTGATAGTGAAACTGTTGGTTAGAAAGAAATAGTTTGTAACCTTGTAGACCAGCTGCTATTTAAACAAGAAAGAGATCAGTATGGGATCATACGGATCATCAATGATCGACCATAACCATCGGAGGAACAAAGACGTGGTTGGAGAGCTCAAAATTATATTTGTGGCTGTTTTGGTCTCTGTGATCCAATCCTTGACTCAAAGCAAATGTTTGCTAATTGCAAGCTGGTTAACTATTGGTACAGAATTATAACTATGGTAATTCAATGTTGATTGGTTTAACACAACCTTGGATGGGTTGGTTGCTTACTATAGAAAAATATACTTAAACAAGGGAAAATACTTTAAAACCACCTCAATGTCTTGACACAGTATCACTGATACTGCAACATGTAGAATGTGGAGGATCTCAAAGAAAGATGCCCTTCAGAGGACCACTGAAGAAGACATTGCTGGCTTCCTGTTTTAATCATTGGCAAATTAGTTTTGTCTAGTGTTATTTTGGAAGTAAAGTTCATGAAAGCTTTGTTTGACTCAGCCGACTCTGTCTTCAGGAAGGCCAGGAGGACAATGTGTCCCGAAGTAGCGGAGGAGCCGACTGTGATCAAGGCTCGAGCCGGCCTGTTCTGGCTCCAGAAGACGGAGAGAGTGGAGGACGAGAAGGTTGATGGAGACTACGGCCTAATTATAAATGGCCACAGTCTGGTAAGAAGTCTTTTTCAGCCACATTTGTAATTCCACCAACTGCCGAATAAAAGACAGATGTGGTCCCCTGTTAGAGCTTTTCTTTCTTTTTTTGTTATAGTTGCCTTGCTGGAACAAACATTATACAATGAATAAAATGCATGTTGATATTTTACAGCCTAACTAATCTAAATCAAAATTTAAATATCTAAATTTAAATCAAACACATTTTAGGCCTACAGATTAAATGAAGCATTAGTTAGACCTTCACTAGAAGCTTCTGTATTCTTACCAGTATGAAGAGGACTTTTTTCCTTTAGTCTTTAAGTGTGGTTGAGTTGTGTGGATCTGACCCATGATCTCATGGTCCCTTTGGGTCCTCAGGCCTTTGGACTGGAGAAGGACTTGCAGCTGGAGCTGCTGAGAACAGCGTGCATGTGTCAGACAGTGATCTGCTGCCGCGTCACCCCTTTGCAGAAGGCCCAGGTGGTTCAGCTGGTCAAGAAATACAAGCAAGCCGTCACTCTGGCCATCGGCGATGGCGCCAATGACGTCAGCATGATCAAGGGTTAGCGTGTTGGTGTAGGGGTCACATGTGCAGTAGAAACAAACGTGGGATCCGTAGCTATTGTTACTCACTACGTGGACTTTTGTGTCTTCGCTCTATCCGGCCTCCAGCTGCTCATATCGGTGTTGGTATCAGCGGTCAGGAGGGCATGCAGGCGGTCCTCTCCAGCGACTTCTCCTTTGCACAGTTCCGATACCTTCAGCGCCTCCTGCTGGTGCACGGCCGCTGGTCCTACCTGCGCATGTGCAAGTTCCTGGGATATTTCTTTTACAAGAACTTCACCTTCACCTTTGTGCATTTCTGGTACGCCTTCTTCTGTGGCTTCTCCGCTCAGGTGAGGGGCATGTTTTGGTATGATGTCACATAATTGTAAAGGGTTACATGATTCACTAATGAGTGCGTATTAAAACTTTATGATTTGTAAATAGGGCGGCACGGTGGCGTGGTGGTTAGCACTGTCGCCTCACAGCAAGAAGGTCTTGGGTTCGATTCCGCCCAGTGGCCTTTCTGTGTGGAGTCTGCATGTTCTCCCTGTGTCTGCGTGGGTTCTCTCCGGGTTCTCCGGCTTCCTCCCACAGTCCAAAGACATGCTCTGGGGATTAGGTTAATTGGGGACTTTAAATTGCCCGTAGTTGTGTGAATGTGAGTGTGAATGGTTGTGTGTCTCTGTGTTGCCCTGCGATTGGCTGGCGACCAATCCAGGGTGTACCCTGTCTATCGCCCGAAGTTGGCTGGGATGGACTCCAGCCCCCCCCGCGACCCTGTGTGCAGGATAAGCGGTTTGACAATGGGTGGATGGATGGATTTGTAAATAGTTTTCACTCATAATAATATACCAATATCAAATCATTTGGATATTTTGAAAGCACACAATTACTTTAAATGTAAGGTTAGAAAATAAGTGAATATTTTAACACAGGTTGAAGGGTATATCTCTAGTTCGACTTTTAACAGGTCGTTATGCTGTTGTCAGGTCATTTTAACATAATTTTTGTTACTTAGCTCCACCCACTCATGTCAACCACTGGATGCAAAAAAACTAAATAGCAAAGGTCAAAACTTCAAAGACTTCAAACCAATGGGACATGTCACTTGTCAGATAAAGGCTTTGGAAATTAGTCAGGAGATGAACAGCACAGAATAGAAAGTTTGCTAAATCGCAGCGATGGTCGCCAGTCAACAAATATAATGTAGTAAATGCTGTGCTGACATGTTTAATGTTGTGCTTGTTATTCTTGTTCATAGACTGTTTATGACGAGTGGTTCATCACCTTGTACAACATGGTTTACACAGCACTTCCTGTCCTTGGCATGAGCCTCTTTGACCAGGTATGCACCGTGGGGAAACTTCATGTTCAATTACTTTGAAATAGCTCCTAGACTCAAATTCCACATTTCCATTCGTTTGATATCATATATATTGGTCTGAGCACTTCACACCCCACCCCTGTTCCCTGGACCTTCCTCCTCTCCCCCACTGCGCTCGCAGGATGTCAACGACCGCTGGAGTTTTCAGTATCCTCAGCTGTACGCTCCGGGCCAGCTCAACCTGTACTTCAGCAAAAAAGCCTTCGTCCGCTGCATGATGCACAGCTGCTACAGCTCCCTCATCCTCTTCTTCATCCCGTGGGCCGCCATGCACGATACGGTGCGAGACGACGGCAAAGACATTGCCGACTACCAGTCCTTCGCCCTGCTGGCGCAGACCTGTCTGCTTGTGGTGATGAACATTCAGGTGGGGGGAGGCCAAGAAGCAACACACATTTCTGTATCACAGACTTACGGATTTAACATAAGTTTCATGTATTCTTCGATGGATGTTGTTCACAGAACCGGCCCCTTAAACATATATTGGGAATGATGATGCGGATAGATTAAGAAAGGAAAGTGCTTTTGCGTTTTTTGCAGTTGTGTCTGGACACCTATTACTGGACGGCAGTGAACCATTTTTTTGTGTGGGGCAGCCTGGCCGCTTACTTTGCCATCACGTTAACCATGTACAGCAACGGCATGTTCCTCATCTTCACCTCCTCTTTCCCCTTCATTGGTGAGTAAATTGCAAGAAATAACACATTTCTTCATTTAGGAAAAGCCATGCGGTATGGTAATAAATACTTTTACCATGTGAAGGCACGGCGAGGAACTCCCTGAACCAGCCCAACGTTTGGCTCACCATCTTCCTGACATCCCTCCTCTGTATTCTGCCTGTGGTGGCTTTCCGCTTCATTCTCATTCAGCTTCGGCCCACCATCAACGACAAGGTGACCCAACACGGGGAGTGGTTTCTACCTCAATAAATGAAAAGCACTCTGAGTGATCAAATATGTAACAATAATAATCCTTTAAACTTCCACATTATCCCTCACATTCCAATTTAGCCACGTGATATGTATTGACTATAGGGACAGGATTACGGCAGCAATAATAAAGTGATGAAAGAAGGATGGCCATCATAAGAAGAAACTGGCTCTTGGGGTTTGAATGTTGTGACATTGGAAATATATCTTAGGGATTTCTTTGTTAAAGAGGATGGTCAGTATTACTTTGTTTTAACACATAAAATTAATGGATGGAGTCGTTAAAGTAAACTGAAGGTATAAATAGACACAAGTTAGCATCTTGTTAGCATTAACCTGAGATTACTGACAAAATCCGTAGCTAACAGCTAGAAACCAACATGAATTAGTATTAATATTTAAAGGTAAACACATTTAAAATGAATGGGCTTAGTTGGCTAGTATACAAGCCTTGTAATAGTTCTAAGGTCACATTATGTTATAGGAAAATACCAGCCAATGAGTAACTATCATTATTCTAATGATAATGGTAAGTCCACCTCATCTACTCGTTATCCATCATGGATAAGAAGAAACAGTCTCTTGGGGTGACTGTGGGTCAGTGGGGAGCACGGTCGTCCTCCAATCAAAGGGTTGGCGGTCTGATCCCAGGCCTGGCTAACCCGCATGTTGATTTGTCCTTGGGCAAGACACTTAACCCAACATTGCTCCTGTAATTGCAATAATGTGAATGTTAGTTACTGATGTGCAGGTGGCACTGTGTATGGAAGCTTCTGTCATCAGTGTATGGATGGGTTTGAATGGGTCATGTAGTGTTAAAGTGGTTTGAGTGGTAGGAAGACTAGAACAGCGCTATACAAGTACCACACAGTCCATTTACCATTCTCCTTCCTCTAGGTGCGACATACGGTGCGAAAGGAGGCGCTGCCGGCGCCGGCACCTCGCCGCCCGCCCGCCAGGCGCATCAGCACGCGGCGCTCCGGCTATGCCTTCTCGCACTCGCAGGGCTTCGGGGACCTGGTGACGTCTCGAAGGTTCCTGCTGAAGATGCCGCTGAGGAGCCGACCGGTGGTGTTCACGCAGACGGACTCTGCCCTGGCTCAGAGTCAGCCGCAACACTACCGCACCATCGCGGAGGAGCGGGAGGAGCCGCAGAGCCCCCAGGCCGTAGCGGCCGCCGCTGCACAGTGAGGCCGAATCAACAGGCTGCAGGTTTTATATCGGAGAGATGGGGCAGCGTTTACTGGCAAATCTTAGTCTGATATGAAATTGCACTTTCTTGTCTTGCTCTTCAGAGTTTGTATCCCTATGGTTGAATTCACTTATTGTAAGTCGCTTTGGATAAAAGCGTCAGCTAATTGACATGTAGTAGTGTAATGTAATATCCGTCCACGTGTGTTTGTTTTTTACTCCTGGAGGGATATCCCTGTGAAAATGCCGAAGATGAAAGCACACACGATCTTGAAGGGCCTCATAACGTACATTTTGACACTTGAAACGCTCAGATGCTTTTAATTGCTTGGATAACACATTCGGAATTTCCAATAACAAAACCGTTTTTCGAGCTTTTCCAGTGTGGTTCAATCCACCTTTATTGGCATGATATTTGCATACAGGGAATCAATCTTTGAGTGAACTGTGGAAAATTGTAGTCAGGTTTATACACCAAAGACAAACACCCAAACTCACACAGTTAGTTTGTTTTATTGTCTCTAGGAACAGGAGGAGACTGATCATATCGACTTCTAACTTAGTGAAATAACCAGAAACATAAGCAACCTGGAGGGGTCAGACTTCTGATGAGCTTTAGGAAATGGCCAGAAACATTACGTGCAGACTAAAAGATGCTAAAATCAGAAACTGCAATGAGATTAACTCTGTGTCATGACCACAGAAGTGGTTGTTGTGATTTTATAGAAAGTGAACTTTCAACGAATGTAAAAGGTTGCCGCTGGTATCACCACACTGCCTGCAACACAATGTTGCATTTTGTACCTTTTTTAATTGTATGTTTGAATTGTCATTATTCAGGGTGTCATTCTTAGAAAGCATAAAATAAATCCACAATGAACCTTTTTTCACTATGTTGTTTGTATAATTATGCATGAAGATGGATGTAAAACAGTGTTTTATTATTCCTCTGCATTAATAATATGTTAACAATATTCTTGTCACCTATGCAGAGATGTATAACTGAAGAGATTTTTTTAAGGAACAGCCTGCAGCCAATTTGAATGTATATTCATTATTGGTTGCATTTCTTCCAGCCTGTAGAGATTTGGAGGGCCAGCTTTTATGTGAGCTTTTATCAATCATATTTCAGCCATCATGTCATGCCTGGGTTGAAGAAACCTGCTCTCGGGCCTTCAAAATCAACAGTGCCTGTAGCTCAAGGTAAACCAGTGTCGTTAACCAGTCAGATTTGAAAATGCAGCACAGATTATTCATAAAATCCCCTTTTTTCAGTCCAAGACCACATTTAGCCATTGTGTGTTCATTGTGTTCTTAACCCTTTTTACATGATCATCTGTAAATAAAAAACATTACTTGATTGACCCTTGATCGCTTGTCTAAAATCTTACACCTCATAATGACATCAAAAAGATCCACAAACACATGGGAGCCTCCACGGTTATCATGGCGCTCACTACAGTGATACAGGTGATAAATAGATCCAAGGAATGCTGCTAAAGGGATAGCCTATAAATGGTTGTTTAATTTGGTTTGTTTTAAGAACAGCCTTCTTTAATTCCCTTACAGGATGTTGGTCGGATCATTGTGAAGCTTCTCCTTTACGTCCATTAAGATGAGGATAAACTGATAATAACAGAGTACAAGACTGAACACGAATGTCAGAATCTGTATATGAAAGACAAAAATATCTGATTATTTTACATATTTAATAACGGACTCTTTTAGGAAGCCTCAACCATCCAGATATGTTTAGTCTCTCTCTCTCTCTTGCGCGCTCTCTCGTCAACCTACAACTGTTACGTCTGCACAAACACTGCATTCAACCCGCAACTGCAGTGTCCTGGACTGCCAGCAATGACATCAGCGGTGGAGCGGCTGTTCCAGCATGGCACAGATCCAGAAAAACGTTTTAAAAAAGAACACAGTTCAAACCATAATTAACCCTATAGGGACTGCGTCTGCCCCAGTTAAAACTAATAATGCAGCAGTGCAACAAAATAGGAGAATTAAAGGGGGGCTTTTCAATATTAAATCTCTGTCATCTAAAGCTGTTTTAGTAAATTAACTAATATCAGTTCAACATGTTGATATATTTTGTCTTACTGAAACGTGGCTATTGAATGGGGAATATTTCAGCTTAAATCAGTGGTTGTCAAAGTTTTTCTGCCGGGCCCCACTTTTTGCCCTAACAAAAATGTAACAAAATGGTCCATGCAGAATTTTTATTGAAATAACTGCATTTTGTGACTCTATGTGTACTTTTATTAATAACAGAATAAAGAACATTTATGTCACTTTCATGTTTTAACTTGAACATTTAAGTCACTTTCATGTTTTAACAGTTAAGTTCAAATCTAAAACTTGTCAGAGTTCTTTTAGTTAAAGAGAAGAAGTAAGTGGGCGTAACTAAACAGGGCTGTAATGTTTTACAGTGCGGTTTGTCCATGTTCTCTCTATAGTTTGCATGTCTCAGTGTCCTTGAGCAAGACACTGAAGCCCCAGTGCTTCACAGCAACACACCGCTCCTTAATTACTAAGATTGGGTAAAATGCAGAGAATAAATTCCCCATGTGGGATTAATAACGGAATATTAATAAAATAATAATAAAAAAATCTTTTAATTTAAAAAAATATATAAATTTTTAAAAATCTATATTTCCCCCAGCCCCTCGCGCCCCACCTGTAATACCTCCGTGCCCCACCAGAGGGCCCCGCAGTTTGAGAACCACTGGCTTAAATGAAGCGACTCTGCATGTTAATACTCATATTGGGGGGGTGGCAGCTATTTATGACTCCTGCCTTTTAAGAAACCGAATGAATCTTAAACCTAGGCTGGATAATAACTCATTTGAAAGCCTGGTTTTCAGTCTTTTGCAACCAACCTGGAAAATAATCCAGCCCGTTCTCTTTGTAATAGTGTACGCCCTGTACACTACTACTATTCAGAATTTCTATCTGAATATTCACAGTTCTTAACAAGTTTGGTCCTCAAAATGGACAAAGTAATTATAGTGAGTGATTTTAACATTCATGTGGATGTAGATAACGACAGCCTACTGCATTTCATTCATTGTTAGATTCAATTGGTTTCTGTCAGCGTGTAAATAAACTAATTCATTGATTTAACCACTTGGTTGACTTGGTTCTTGTGTATGGTATTGGGATAGAACATTTAACAAACATTTAACCTTATCAGCAGTCCAAATATGGTCACTTCACAAATACAAGACAGCGTCGGCCAAATCCATTATGACGACTGTCAATATGCCAGGCCTCAAAGCTTCAGTCTACAAACCAACGGGTGTGGACCAAGATGTCCACCTCATGTCTATGCAATGTGCCTCAGACATTAAACTAGAAAAGTACTGATAATATGAATGCCTTTTTCGTTATTATGTCTTTATTTATTTATACTTAACAACGTGAACACGTGATGATTCTAAAGAGAATTGTTACCCGAAGCCTCAGATCCCCCCAGCTTCTGAAGAGAGTCACAACAAGTCACAGCTCAAAACGGCTGCCACCTGCCACCCGGCCACTTTGTTTCCCTCTCACTGATCTTATTTACTTTGAGTGTAAAAGGTGTATAAACCCAATGAGCACCCAGCTCTCAAAAGCCGACGGAGACCGATGGCAGCTTGGCTAATTCCTTCAGGAGTTGGTAGGGACCCAAATGAATGAATAACTTAAATTTCAAGCATGGCTCCAAATGAATGATTTCCCTTTGTTAGAAGTTGACATTGAATTCATGGTTAATGCTTAAGTGTAGGGCAAAAGAGAATACCGCTGGACGAGCAGCCTATTCTGTGGGGAAATCAGGGAAAACAAGACGCATGCAAGCCAAAGGGACGAGCAGATCAGGTTGTGAAACTAATAAAATAACAAAGGCTGGTCAAAGGGCCACATGTTGAGGGTGACAATCACTAAAGGGCATCCTCTGGGGCCCATGAATATGGAAGGCTGCTCCACGCAACAGCAGATTGACTCACAGTGGTCCTTTAAAGGCCGAGTTGAAGTCTGCTGTCTCCCGTTACAGAAACAGACCAATCGCAGGGGGCCACAGCCTTCCACTTGAACTTTGACCCTAGGGAGATGGATCAACATATAGTATGCATATGAATGCTCACTGTGCTTTGTCTCTGTCTTCCATTCACCCCAGTGTCTGTGCTTTTTACTCGTGGAACCATAAATATCACTATTAATAGTATAAAGGATTATACTGATCTCTTTTTTTTGTCATGGAGGTGGTGCATTGAGTAGAGAGGGTGTGCCGGAAACCGGAAGGTTGGCGGTTTGAACCCTGGCTGCTCAATGTACCATGTCAAAGTGTCGCGCTGAGCAAGACACCCAACCCCTAACTGCTCCCCGGGCGAAATGTAAAAAAAAAAACACATTAAAAATGCAGGTGGCACGGTGGTGTGGTGGTTAGCACTGTCACCTCACACCAAGAAGGTCATGGGTTCGACTCTGCCCAGCGGCCTTTCTGTGTGGAGTCTGCGTGTTCTTCCCGTGTCTGTGTGGGTTCTCTCTGGGTACTCCGGCTTCCTCCCACATTCCAAAGACACGCTCTGGTGATCAGTTTGATAGGGTACACCTTGGACCGGTTGCCAGCCCAATCTCTCGCCTGAAGTTGGCTGGGATGAAGTTGGCTGGGATAGACTCCGGCCCCCCTACAACTGTGTGCAGGATAAGTGGTTTGCAGATGGGTGTTAAAAATGAAATATAAGTTGCTTTGGATATCATTGCTCTCACAGGCTTCTTCTTACAATGAAATGTGGCCAAATTGTGTGAATTTCTGTGTAATTAGAAACACATAAAGCCATCGTTTATGCCACACAGCAGGCTATTTATAGAGCATACCCGTCTCTATTCCTGTTCCATACTGTTGGGTCTTTCGGTGACCTCGGCGCCTGCTGACTGTGTTGCATGGCCAGAAAGGGAACGAGCAAGGCTTAGCCTGCAGCTTTTTAACGCTTGTGCTGAATCAGACAGAGTCTTTACAAAAGTCATGAGGTCCTTCAAGACTTTATAAAAGTCATACACTTTGCAAAGTCATTTTCAGGTTCTTTTCAAAATCCTCCAACAAAGCAGTGTTTTGTAGAAAGTCAAATAATTGATTTGCGACAGATTTCTCAAGGATCCTCGAGGGAGGGAAGCTAGAGTAGTTTTCTTAAGGCGTTTAATTACAGGTACCTTGAGAAACGCAAGGTTGGCGGTTCAAACCGCAACTGCTCCATGTCCCATATCGAAGTGTCCGTGAGCAAGACACCTAGACCCTACTTGCTCCCTGGGCAAAATGTAAACCAAGGGTTAAAAATGCAATGTACGTCGCTTTGAATAAAAGGGTCAGCTAAATGACATATAATGTACTACTGAGGTCCAAAGGAATACACGGCTCGACAGAGCTGTGACTCTCACAGTGCTGAAGAGAAACCTGGAGTTGTTATTTTTCTCCAATAATGAGTAATAAGCTGCTCTTGTGTTGCGGAAAGCCTTCTTATATGTTTTAGGGCTATCTAGCAAAACTAGCCTAGATCTTTCTGATTTGGTGGAACGCCATAACCTTTCGAGTTTCCGCACAATAAGAGTCGCCGCCCTCTGATGGCAGTTAGGAGGAATGCAATTGAGGCACTTCAACATTGGCTTTACTTTTCAGAACTGGACAAACAATCATTTGCCTCCTGTGATAACTTGATTAGCTATCACAGTGAGACAGGGGAACAGCTGACTAACCTTTACAGGTGTTGATTATAAGGCCGGCTAGACAACCTGAGTGTGCATGTGAAGAGCTGTACTCAGCGTTAAGACTTACGACTTATCAGGTTTCAAACATTGGTCTGTTGGTCCATGTTTCGCCATTAGTTAATGTCAGTGTGAGAAAGAGGGACATGCAAAGAGGGTAATCTAAGCATGGTCAGTTGTGAGGCTTGTGTCTAAATAAGGGATTACCTTCAACCTTAGAAAGGGCCTCTGCTCCCAACTAACATTAGTACTAATGTGCTGCATTTACATGCTGCACAACCAACTCTCATGATCTCAGGCGGACACGGTGTCAGCACCAGGGTTCCTGTAACCAGGGATCTCATCAGTCTGGTCTGGTCGGTTACACACAGGGATGGAAAAAATCCCGTACATCCAAGGCCTTCAGTGTAAATAAAGACTTCGGCATAACAGGTTTTGTTACATTTGGCTCTCTGCACTGGGGGGCAAAAGTCCCCTCAACTATTTTTTTTATTTTTTATAAATCACGCAGCCCACACCTGAACAGATTCCCTTTGACCCCTATGTGAGGCAAGTGAAAAGGGTCCAAAAGGCCATCGTTTTGGGTAATGTTCAGGATTTGGATGTGGGGGTGGGAGGGCGGCTTTCATACGAGAGACCGCAGCAGGAGTCTGAAATCTACTTGTGGTTAGCTTTCTGATTTGTACTGTTTTTGCTTTATAATACTATAATTAGAAAGTGGGGTTGATTTAGTCACCTTGCGGACTGCACATGCATTAAAATCTCATTTAGAAATGTCTTCCTGTGAAGCATCTTCCACTCCTTTCAGTACTACTTACGTTTTGGGCTTTTATCCTCCAAAATAACCTCACATAAACCTTCCCATTCCCTGCAGTGCATATAATTTATAGATCTGACAAAACATTGCACTTGTGAGAGCGTACGTGCAATATGATGAGCACCCTCTCTTCAGACATAGTGAAGTCACCTCTCTGAGCCAGACTGGATTCGGAACAAAGTTAGTTGTGGCGTTTGGTCCGAAACTGAAGCAATTTAGGCATCAGGTGGAAGATTTAGTTGTGCGTGTTACCCAACAAGAACCCACAGTGGTGACCGGGTGTGTTGGGCTGTTTGAATCATTAACTGCTGTTGCAACATCAAACCAGACAACATGACCTCATTGGCTGCCTGGTTGAGCTAATACAGTGGCCGTATTGAAATGAGGATCTCTTCACTTATTCAGTACATTCACAGAAGGGGATCATTTCTGTTACCCTGTCTTTGAAACTCTCGCCCCAACTCACGTTGAAACCAAATTCTCCCAATTACTTCAGAACATCCAGTCATTCAAAATACATAAAACACTAAATGCCCATGTTTTAGACTTAAAAGATTATTTATTTGGTAACGAACTCCACCTCAAGCACATAAAAGAACAATATAATCTTCAGTTTTGCATAACAAGATTATCTTAGATCGAGACCATAGGCACCAATCATCACCTGAAACAAAAATGTGACTGCAGTTTTCAGAAAATAAACATTCTGTAAGAAACATGATTATAGTTGCAATGAAACAAATATAGCTAGCAAAGCGGTTTAAAAAAAGAAAATTGAAACTTAGATTATAGCACATTCATTGAAAGACTTTTTTTTTTAAAGGGACATTGCATGCAGTATTGGGAGATTCAAGCAGCATTAACGTTACAGTTGAGTGGTAAACACCTCAGAATACCCGTACCAGTCAAACATTGTAGAACATAGTTATTGCTGTAGTGAAAGTGAACTGTGCATTTTTTCCTCATTAATTAATTCCTTCATTAAGTCACCGTTTATCTCAAAGATACGATTTGCATAATTATAGATTCAACCAGAAAGGTAAAAAAAAATGAACTGATCCGGCATTCAACCAAAAATCCACTTCATCACAGGCTGTCAGTCTCAGAAAAAGCCCCATTACAAGGCTGGTTTATCAGTTATTGTAGTTTTGGAAATGTGTAGGGGTCTGATCAAAGAATAATCTGTAACTTCGACTTCCAAACAAATTAATCCTCTTGACCCATACATTTACCAAACCATTGCTAGGATGTACCGGTCAGTAATTATCCTCCAACCTTGTTAGGGACAGGATAGATAAACTTGGCAATCTGGTTCAGGATACAATACCACAGCTTCCCCCACCTTTCACAAGCGGGCCCAACATTCGTGCACCAGCAGTTGGTCTCTGGAGCCTGTGTCCAGGAGGCGGTTGCCACATTCCTCCCAGCGGCACACCCGGCCCTTCTCCACCACCACAAACTTCCACTCTACGTGGCTCTCTGAGGGCAGGCGGACCACTGTGGCCCAGTGCCCGTCCTCCAGTCCCTCTAGCGGAACAAACTCCTTCCAGTTCCCCAGCTCCCACCGGTCACCTGTGACAGCCACCGCCTGGTTGGGCGATTGGGTGATATAATGGATGCTAAAAGTCACGTCCACATCCTGGACCACCGCAATTTTTATCATATTTTCTGGGTTTTCGGCAACAAGTGGAAGAGTGCCAGCGAGTAAGACTTTGGCAGAAGGTGGAATATCGGATGCGTCCGTACAAGTGGTGACTTCTACAGCGGAGGTGAATTTGAGCCCTTCAGAGGGAAGCTGGTAGGTTTTCGTATCGTCGTGGGCAGAAGATGGGACGGGAAGAGTCATCCAGGGAAAGGCTTTGTAGTCATTGTCCATGATCCATTCATTATGGTCCATAGTTGCCTCCATGATACTAATTTCAGTCTTTTCGTAGTCTTCATCCTCCTCTGTTTTTGTAGCCCCTATCATTTCAACATTTACTCCAGTCATCTTCTCTTCACTCTCGACAGCAGCTTTCAGGCCTTGCGGTTTGTCAGTGAAGCAAGTAACGCTGCCGGCAATCTGCGCCGCGAACTGATCCATCGCACTGCAGTAACTCTCCTCAATCTCTCGGCCAAACATATCCTCTTGTGATAGGAAGGATTCATTTAAAGTAGAGGCTTTGCGCTCGCTGATAGCTGGCTGGCAGCAATGAGACGGATCAGGCCCAAGGACCATAGCTGCTGTATGCTCTTCTACCACTGCATCGGCATGGAGGCCATGCTGAGCCTCAGTCGGTCCCGCAGACACGATCATATTTTCAATGATCGTGTCATACTCGTTAAAGGAATCAGGGCTGACTGCCAGGCTTGAAATCCCACTTTCTTTCCCCACTGCACCATATGACATGTCAATATCCCTCAGCTCAAACTGCTCGAAAGACAGCATGTCAACTTGACAAAAGGGGGGATGCATGTTGGGAGCGGATGTCAAATCTTCACTATTATTTTTGGTTTGGTCACCCTGTGGGTGTTGAGTGAAGGGCTGTGGGTCAGGACCAGAGACAGACATTACAAGTGCAGCGCAGCTAGTTTTATTGCCAGCAGCTGCAGAATCGAGCAACAACTCCTTTTCAACGAGGTCAATTGGTTTGTCTTCACAAATGAATTGCTGGTGTGGACAAGACATATCTTCAACTATTACAAAAGGTACATTCGCAGCTGTACCTGGATCAATATCTTGTACTCGCTCCGATTGAGGGTCGAGATTAGCAGAGTTTGGGTCTTCATCAAGAGATGGAGTCTCATTATCTTTCTGTGGTTGTTGACAATCAAATGACATATCAGCACATTCTGCCACAATTGAGGAACCTGAAAGACCGCCATTGTGATTACTGGCCGTTACGAGTGAGCGCAAACTGTTCGGCGCAGAGGTGACTGCCACACTCAAACAGTGTTGTTCTTCTTTGCAGGCAACATTGCTGCCACCGGACGGCATTTTGTCTTCTGCCTGATTGGCACCATTATAAAGAACGCCAACCTCTTGGTCACGCGCAAAATCAGTTCCTCCCTTTTGTTCAATCTCCAGGTCTTGCTCGTTGAACTGTACCGAGGCGGCATATAATTTGACGGTTGAACGTTTGTCCAAGTGGTCTTCATCTTCACCATCTTCAGTATCACTATCCCCAATGGGCTGAAAGTTTTCCACTTGTCTGGTTGTCTCGTCAATAACATCCTTCTCCAGGGTCCCGCCCTCATCATCTTGGGATTCTGTTGTTGACACCTAAACACATGGATGAAAAGTATAATAGTTTATACATAATCTCAGTCTTTAATTGACAGTAAGATTAAAAAAAAAAGATTGAAAGTGTTCTGTGCAGAAGGAATGAGGTTGGAGGGAGACTTGGTAAATGTAGGCGAGAGGGAAATAATCCCACTGGGTTGGTGCTCCAACTGCTTGAAGAAATAGTTCAGACCAATTTGGAAATATGCTTATTTTCTTACAAAGTTAGAAATAAGAGACACTGCTCTCATTTACGGTCTGTTGCTTGCGTGTCATCCAAGCACATGCAGACATTTTGGAGGACAGGTGGTCAAATAAAACAAAGGGAACCCAGGGCCAAAATTATTCAGGAAATTAAAAAAATAAATCTTAAATATTGATGAAGGAAGAAGAAATTATGCTCCAGCAGAAGAGGCACTTTTCTCATCCAGGGCAAAAGCTTGAGCACTACCTATGCAAGGGCCGGGTGTCACCTCAAACAGGGACGGCTGCTTACCGCCTCTCCCTGCTTCGGCTTCTCAGAATGAATCTGTTTAGGCTCCATCAAGCAGCTTTCACAGAAATCTTCCAACACATCCTTAATCGTGTCCTCGCTGGACAGGATTCCTCGTGTCCTCTGAGCAGATGTCTTCTCAGCAGCAGCACGACGGTGCCGGATTCGGAGATCATTCTGAATCAGATCGACATCCGCCTTCACGTCAGACAAGCCCTCATTCACGTCTATCAGAAGAAAGAAATACAGTTGAAATAATATATATTAATATCCTTTAAAAAAATTAAAAAAAGTTATACGTTTTTTTAATCATAACCAAAAACGAGATGTTCATTGGATGTCTTTCAGTCAAAATAAGATTTGATGAACTAGTAACTTAAAGATTCCTTAAGTGACAAAAATGCAGTATCACAGGATTCCTTAAGTGACAAAAATGCAGTATCACAGGAGTAATCAATACAATCAGTGACCGTAATTGTTTGTTGGACAGATTTGCCTCTGGTGTGAGAGTTTTTCCAGTCCATTTAACCTTTGCAAGCAGATAAAACCATTACATAAAAATGTACTCAAAGTATCAAATGTTACAATTATGTAACTTTACTACGAACCCATTGTACTTTGTTTGAGAGATTCATCTTTACCATATTCTATGATCTGGTTAAAAATTTGTTTGTGACATCCAACTCCACATGTGCACACAATTTAAACACCGCTTATGGAGCACGGTTAGTGATGGCTCGTTATGATGGCCCATGCGTATCTCCCACAGTGCCACTGGAGCATATAACCCGTACTGAATATAAACACCGTTGCTAAATTAATTGTGACACGAGCATGTCCTCAGCGCATGTACCACTAAAAGACTAACAACGAATACCCCGTTCATCCTAGATATGTTTTTATCATTTCGACTTTAATGTCGTTTTACCTGTTGACTCCCGGATCACCGACGCGTCTCCCTCCGCGCCTCCGTCAGCGTCGGCCACCGCGGCCTTCCTCCGCTTCCCCCTCACGGTCCGGTAGATGACGAGACCCGCCACCACCGACACCACCGCTACGACAGCCAGAGCCACGGCGGGACCGTGGTGCCCGATCATGCAGAAGAGCGAGGCCAGGTCCACGCGTCTCTCCACCGCCACGGTGTTGCCGTTCTTCAGCGGCATGATGCACGTCTGTCGTGGGGGAAAATCACGAGCCGCGCCCCCCTCGCCTCCTTCGGAGCTTCTCTTTGTGCGTGTGGAGGACTCGAGTGAAGGTGGTGCAGGCTGCTCTTCTCTCCGTCTTTTTCTTCTCTCCACGCGTGTGGAGTGACCTCTTGTTGCTGCAGAGCTGCAGGGTTGCGAGCTTCTGATTGGCCGGGACTGATCACGGGGTGTCGGCATTCATTCATAAAACCAATCGGGGCAAAGGGAACAAATCGTTTGCACTCTGATCGTCTCTGCGCTGATAGGATCTGATCCGTCGGAGACCTCCTCTACGAACCTTTAGCTCCTCCGTCACGAGTGCAGCTGCAGTGAAATCACATCATCTCCAGTGATTGCCTCAATAAGCCCCACAGAATCGATCTGGCCTCAGTGGAAGTCTGAGGATTTCAATCAGTTAACAATCAGAGGGCTGGATAACGTCAACTTTTTCTTCAAAAGAGGAAAGTTGAATATTTATAAATTTAGTTAACTCATTTTGTATGCTGGAAAAAATATTTTATTTTGAAGAATCTTTTAATAATTGTAATACATTTTATTTGTATAGCACGTTTCATAGTACTCAAAGACACTAAATCGTCAAAAATAAAAAAGGAAGTTATAAACAAAAAACAAAAAACATCATTTTTGTCACACATTTGAGTGCAGTGTTTTCGGTGCAGGCTTGGATGTGTTTGGGGAAAGAGTTCCAGAGGTTGCTGTCAAACATGACTCCGAGGGGGGTGGGGAGGGATCGATTTTGTCAAAATTGTGACTGGTTTTTATGAGGGATTTGTGCCAATTGATGATCATGTCAGATGGGGCACAGTTGAGTTTCAGGAAGTTGGTTTGCATCCATGATTTAATATCAGTGAGGCATTCGACCATTGCTGGCTTTTGTGAAGGTGTAGAGCTGGACATTGCCAACGTAGTAGTCAAAGTGGAGACCGTGTTGACGTTTGATGCTACAAGAGGGAGCAAGTGTAGGATGAACAGAAGAGGATTGAAATGGGTCAAACAGATCGTTGGTGGTGAGGTGGGCTTGAGTTGGGCTTGGGTTGTGTAGCAATAACACATTCTAGTAATTTTGAAAGAAAGGGAAGATTGGAGATGGGCTGGAAATTTCTCCTTGGGGTGACAGCAGGAGTAGATAGTCTACATAGGGTCACTTTCACCCCTCTTTCAACTGCTCTGATCACCCACACTCTCTGCCACCTCCTCACCCAGAATTGTTGCTCACCCTCTGCTCCAAGTTGATCTTAAGATACTTTGCACACTGCTTTTGGGATCGGCTTATGCTTCACCTTTTGGTTTTATTCTAGTTTTGTGGTTTATTTTGAAGTTATTTCTCATCTCTGACATATTTTATTATTGTTGACAATATTTGGCGAAATTATTGCGAAGTTAAAGTCAAATATAAAATACTGTCAATATATACATATTTATATATGTATACAGTGGGGAAAACAAGTATTTGATACACCGCAGATTTTGCAGGTTTTCCCACTTACAAAGCATGTAGTGTAGCATGTGTGTGAGTCTGTAATTGTTAATATGGGTACTCTTCAACTGTGAGTGAGTGAAGTATTTGATCACCTACCAAGCAGTAAGAATTCCGTCTCTCACAGACCTGGCTACGGCTGCGCTGACCACTCCGTCGTTTAGGAGACAAAAGGTCGATTGGCCTCTGCAGAAACTCCTCAATAGAAAATCTTTGGAGCGAGCTGAAAGTCCGTGTTGCCCATCGACAGCCACGAATCCTCTGGATTTGGGGAAGGTCTGTATGGAAGAGTAGCCAAAATCCCTGCTGCAGTGTGTGCAAAACTGGTCAAGAACCACAGGAAACGTATGTAATGAAATTAATTAAATACATTTTTCGAAAGCCTACAAACAAAGTTATGGTTTCCAAGTGTCACATCTGAGACAATGATTCAGCCACATGACCCAGAGCTATACAACAAAGGTGAACAAGCAGCTCCAAGCCTCCACAATCTCCTCTACATGGGTCAATACCGACCTCTAGTGCCTCAAACCGGAAACACACACTTCATGTTGGCTGCTTGGCTCCTCTCCATGTTTTCCACTGGTTTATGACGTGTTATTAAAGATTAGCAGAATGAAATCACACCCCCCCCCCCCCCAGAGCCTTTTGCTGCGTTACTGAGCCGTTCGAGCGACTAAGTACAACAATATTTATGGAAAGTATCTCTACTGGGAATGGTAGCAGTATCAAGAGCTATGCCGTGAGAACAGGACTGGAGTCAGTGGTTTAAGTGATCTGGCAGCTGTAGTTGTTGTCATGGCAACAGAAGCTTCACCTTCCGCTGGTGCAGGGTTAGTAAAATGACATACAACTACTAGTATCACTTAAAGTAACGTGCATTATGCTCCTCAATCTTATGCATCACAAATTGATTTATTCCTTTTTTTTACTTTAAACCCCTCCATATTACTCCCTTGTGCCTTTCCATAACCATTGTTTCTCCCTCCCTCCCCACCAGGGCGTGGCGCATGGAGTAGGGTGGGTGAGCTGGGAACTGAAGGGGTGTTGGTTCGAACTCCGGCTACTCCTTGTCCCTCTTCTCCCACTGTATTGGAAGGGATAAATGCAGAGAAGCGTTTTGTTGTCTCAGTAGCTGTACTGACAAAAAGTTGAATCTTCTTCTTCTGTTGCCTCTCTCCGTTGTCCGGCATGCAGTCACATCACATGATCCCCTCTTCCCACCTGCCTCAGAGCTTCCCCCCCAATCAGGCCGGTTGTAAATTATACTCTGTTTCAGAGGGTTAAAACAGAGGATTTTCTCCTTCACTGACACATTGTTTGTAGTGGGTACAATACACTTTTTACATAAACTTATCAGTTTTTTTCTTGTTATTGAATCTTCTAGTGAAGGCAGTGTGCGTTCTGTTATTAAATCTTCAACATGACCAAGTCCAATGTGAATGTGGAACAGAACTCAGTTTTAATACTGTCCGTCTACATCTAAGTGAGACAAGATGTTGAACCTTCGATTAGACACAAATACAAATCCCAATAAAAATAAAGATGTTCAGATTCAAAACCAGGGAATACGCAGATGAACAGAACTTTACAATTATGGGAAGAGTACTGACAAATTTGCAAATAAAACGAGTGAAGGTTATTTCTCACCAGTACGACACACAACCTTTATTCTGATTAAACTCCCTGAAAATATTGTGCTTGATATTTCTCTAATCTTCATTTAAATCTGGGAATTAATTCCATTTAGCGTGAAATGGAGTCCAACACACGTTAATGATCCGGTCATGGAGTGGAGGGAAGGAGCACCACCCAGTGGAGAACACAGGACTGGTCCCTCAGGAGATCTGTCTGTCTGGAACGAGCATTCCTTTTTTCATTTTTTATATTAAAAAGAAGTGCAGGGTAGTCACATCCACTAGATGTGCTATTTCATATTTAAGGGTGTTCTCTTTAAGATGATTACAGCAAGCAAGTGATAGTTTGTTTATGAACAAAAAAGATTGTTGTTGAATATTTTCTTGTATCTTATAATGTATGATGTGCAAGTAGGAATAATGACTTGTCTTTTTCTTGTTTAAAACCATTCTTTTAATCATAAGCGATTCATATCAGGCTCAAAAAATGGCTCAAATTGATCAAGTTATGACGCAGCACTGACTCTGGGTAAATACTGAAGTAAAATTGGACTCTGCCTGGACCTAAAGAAAACCTTGTGACAGCACGTTTTTCCTTCCCCCTTTCCCTATATGTTGTTTACCATCTCATGCTCTGTCTCTCCCTGGATGCCAGGGCTTTTCTTATCCAGGAATAGATGGGATTGTCCCTTGGCAACGTGGCAGCATCGTGGGGGAGGAGGAGAAGGAGGAGGAGAGAAACCACCTCAGGCACTCCCTCTGCTTTTGTTTTAACTCTCTATTTGGGGAAAGTGCTGACGGGACGCTCATTGGTTTTGGATCTTTAAATAATCCGAGGTAGTCTTTCCTCTCCTCCTTTCATCGGCCCTCGTCTACCAGTTCGCCTCCTCCTCCTTGCACTCAGCACTTCGGGGCGTTACCGTGATACCCCCCTCCTCTTTTTTGTACTTGGCATCTCTTGCTTTTCATCTCCTCACTTCTGTGAGATGCTGAGTGGCTGCCAACACATGGAAACATTTACTGACTGGTTATATTTCCTCTTTCCCTCCAGTCCCGCCCCCACCCTATCCTCCAATCATTTTTCTTTTGTGAAATCTTTCTTTTAACCCCGCAAACTCACGTCCCTCTTGTCCCCGACACTGTAACTGACTCTTAATTAACAGGGTGTGTGTCTACTGTTGTCACAATAGCCCATGAGTCAACCAGCCAGCCAGTGTGTGCTTGTGTATGCAGCATGTGTGGCTGTCTGCATCTGTTTATGTTAGAAATGATGTTGTACATGTGCAACGAAATAATGTACGTTGCACACTTTAAGGTTTCAGCACGTCTGACAATGTTTTATTGAGGATCTATTTTCTTTTTTCTAAATTCGAGTTAAGTTGTTTTTGCCCCAATGCATGTACAGAGGTTGGACTGTATCTTGACCTCCTGGCTTTTCAAATGCAAATGCAAACACAACACCTCATGTGGGAGTCCTTTCCCATTGGACGAACTGGAGCAGTCTGTTTGGGCACTTTACATGACCAGCACCTCTAAGAAACAAGTTTGGGCTATGTCATTCTAAAAGTCAGGAAAAGGACTCTTAAAGACGTCACAACAATTTTATCAGGGTTATCTGTAGGTCATATGTAGATCTGTAGGGGGCATCGGGTGAAAGCGGTGGAGTGACCCCCCCCCAGAGACCCCACGTCGACATCTACAGAACATAAAATACTTGAACCCACAGCCCTTAAGTTAGCTGTGAGGCGACGGTGCTCGCCACCACATCACCGTGTGGCCCTTGTTCACAGCAGGATTTTTCTAATTATTTTTGTGAGTATCCCTAACAAAACACTAACAACATCGGTGACAGATTGTGTCATATTTTGATATGAAGTGAATACCATTGTTTGGACCTCAATGCTAAAAAAAGCTTTATTCAATTTATTCTGATGTCGTCCACATGAAACAAAAAACTGTGGAGCTGTATAATGATGTGTTTAGGAGTAACATTTCTGCAGGCACATTTCTCCTCTTTTATTTATTGTAGGAAAGTGTTCAAAGCAGGAAAAAGATCAACGATTTTTAATAAATTGTGCTCACAAAGAGCGGCTTCTGTACGCACGCACTTCCTGTGTGACTTTA